GGAGGGAGAGAGAGAACGTGTGCGCCTCGATTACGTAAGGCATGCGTGTATATACAGTGTCACCTTGCTGTTCGCGATGCTTTCGACCCACGCACGGTACCGCTACGCAGATACCGCGCGCGCAGCTAGCTGCCTTTTGTCCACACCGAGCCATCTTCCTCCGACTACCATCATCTTCCAAACGTCTCGTCGAATCTCGACAGTGTCCACGTTGGTTTTCAAAAATTTCTTCTTCTTCTTCTTCTTCTCCTCTTCCGTTGCAAAACTCACGGCAGAACGATAAAGTACGATGACTTATACATATTATGTCGGATTCATTTGAATTGCATGAGTTTCTGAAACCTTAGACGTTGCTCACACCCGAAGCTGTCACTACGTGACTTGCTTGACTTTCTCGACGATTCCACGGTGTAAGATATGTACAGGAGGTTAATAAATGCTCGGGGCATTTTTTCCAACCGCGCCAACTAGCCGACGTATTTTTCTATTCGTAGACTTTGTAGCAACTCGCGTCGAACGAGGCTGTTCTTCTCTTTCCTTCGGCGTAATTACAGACGTTTCTCGAGAAGAATTCGGATAAGAAGCGGCGTTGGATGCTATCTTTTCTTGCACACCCTCGTGATTCGATAATAATTAGAAGTACAGTTTTTCGTTTCTTTCCTCGCGATAATTCCGAATCGTTCCGATTATTCCAACTTCTTCGTCAAATTTCTTCCTCCGCTGCAATTACACTAGATTCCTTTCCCACAGCACTTAATAGCATTTTAATGCGTTACCTAATTCCAAACGGTCTCGCATGCAGATGCTCGTTTAACGACGCAATTCTGTCGTTCCACAAATTATGCAAAGTTCCTAATAAGTATTCATCGGCGCTCGCAAGTATTAGGACACCCGTTAGGTTCGCGTGGAAAGTATCAATACGATTTAAATTACATTTAAAACTTGCTGCCGGTGAGAAGTATATGTTACTGGATAATATAAATTCGCTTCAGATTCGGCAAGTGCCCCGGTACTCGATAATTTGAAAGAAGAGAAAGACAAACTTGGATCGACGTGTTAAATGACGGCTGTCTGGTCGATCGCGTTTCATTCCTTTCAACAGGTACACCTTGCCGAGATACGCATCTTTTCCTTTCCCGAGGAATCAAATCGTAACTCTTGTTCGAGGTAAGAGGAAAAAATGAATCGACGAAAATTGCAACAGATTACATCACGGACACGAGACAATTCGTTTAATAGGTTTTTAATCGTCGTTTTGTATTCGATGGAAGCCCGGTTAAATGTCTCCCCTTCGGTCGATCCGGCTGTTTCGTATAATGAAGCTTGATAAAAGGGGTTGGTTCGTGCAGGTTCAGGTGGCTGAACCTGTCGCCGCAACCTTTCACGGGACAGAGCGAAGCGAACCTATTAGGAACGAGTTAACAGCGTTCGACGTCATCCACGTAATTACGTTCTCGTGGTTACGAAACGACGGGTTGGACGATTTTTCGCGATACCTCGACTAAATGGAACGTGAAATTAGAGTCGTCCGACGAAATCAGCCAGTTACTTAAGTATTGGAACGTTTGAAAAGTAAAATAAATAGTTTCAGCTTCGTAATTAGCTTTTCGAACGAAAATTGACACAATTCTCTCAACCGCACACGCACACAAACACAGTTGGAAACATCGAAGCGAGAGATTGGTGAAGCTTGGTTCGGAACAAAGGCTCGAACTAATAGAAATCGATGGCGCTACGAAGTAGAAAAGGTGTGCGCACAGGTTGAAAAGTGTCTAACCCTGGATGGACGGGATGCGGAACGAGAAATCAGCCGGTCGGCATTGTTAGAGCGCTGTGTGTGAACGCGGATAAGCGATAAACGGTGGCGTGCAAGCGGTGAAGGTCCGTAGAGCTCTGCGGGTAGCCGAAAGGAAAGGAAAGGAAAAACTGGAGAAAAAAATGGTTCCGAGGGAGTGGTCGGACGTAAGTAGGTCGGCTAAGCTGCGGCGTTTCGTTCGATCGAGCAGACAACAGGCCACGAAGCCGGCCGGCGCGGTGCAGCGTCCTATGCCTCTCCCGCCAACACTGTCATCTTCTTCGTCTCCTCTCTATTTACACTTGGAAGCTTCGATAGATCGGTGCAATAAGATTGATCGAAAGAGGAAAATCTATCGTCTTAACGTCTAATTTGATGCACTTCTTCCTACGAAGATCGAGCGGAGAAAAAAAAACACTGGCAAACGCGACGTCATCGCGTTCGTCATCGGGTGTTCTCTTCAACCCGTTACTTCCGAACGCTGCAAGCCCCGTGGGGCAGTCGAGAAACGCGCGTTCTCGCTCGCCTTGGACCATATCTTTATAGCGATCGAGTTCGCGGGGCCTGATTTCAAATGGAACTGTCTACGCGGTGTGTCCAACTCTCGAAGGCTTATTATCGTAATTTCTTTGTCGTTTCTTCTGGCTACCGCGGCGAGCGAAACCGGCCCCGCGGAGACGCAAGAAAATCAACAGTGAGTCGGAATTTATAGGAGATCTGCTGGGATATAAATCGCGCGTGTTCGCTCGCGCTGTGCACTTGGCCGTGGCGAGCACACTCAATGTCACGCGATCCTCTCTCGCGGTGATTTCAATTTCTACAGGATAGGCCTGATGGACCCCCTTCGTCGACCCTGTCGCTTTTCATCGGTGTGTGTCATCGGTGTACGTATATCTCTCGTTCGGTCAGCGACGGCCTCGAGCCGTGTCGAATCGTCCGAAATTGTAATCCTTTGAAATTCCGCGTTCCTACAATTTTTACCTATTTTCCAAGTTTAATATACCTAGGTACTGTATAGAAAGAGCGTGTTTTCAAGATCAGATCTTTGCTCGTTCACCGCGAGAAAGACCGTTCTTCGGAACCCCAACTGGCCGAACCGGCCACCTTCCTTCCTCCCTCCGATCTCGATACCTTATCGAATCCTTATTCGAGGCTCGACTGGATCCTCGGTACAGCTAAATTGCTCGAAAACTCGCAACAAGGAGACTCGAGAATGGCCATCGCTAGTCTCGGCAGGGAGCTCGTTTCTGCTGGTAGACTCGAAGTACCGGTTCTTGCTTCTTTTTCTCGCTCCTCCGTGGCCTCCCTTTTGCTTCCTCTCTCTCTTCCTCCGTGTGTCTCGAGACAAGAAGAAAAGGGAAGGGCGGGTGGGGAAGAGAGAGAGAGGGAGGGAGAGAGAGAAACTTCCTTCGGCGAGGGAAGAAGAAGAGAGACGAAGAAAGAGATCGGTACTCCGGTCACGAAGCTCGCGCCAAGTATTTATAGCGCGGCCCCGGACCTGTTCGAGGGATTTGATCGGAGAATCTCACGTACACGGGTCGATTCTTTCTGCTGGAAGGTTGCTCAACCGCGAACGGAACCGCCATTTTGGTTCCTCTCCTCCGCAAAGGCCCGTTCTTACCTTCGACTCCGACGCGTGACGCAACCGCTTGCGTAAAGTCGCGGCGTTAGAATCGTTCCTCTTTAAACCAACTGGCCCACGGGACACTGCCGTGAAATCTCTATTACGCGAGTAGAAACCGCGCGACTCGCCTCAGGGACGAAGCTTTCGTAAATGTTTCACGAGTGACCAAAGTCGTTCGAAATCCTAACGATCCTTCCATTATCGTACTTATTAGATCAGGCTCGTCCAGATATTTCAGTAGGGGTAGAGTAGAACGAGTTAGTCCAGAGAAAGAGAGAGACACGGGTATCGCGCACGTGCTGGCAAAAAGCGGCGTGTCCTCGCGGCCGGTTTCCTGGTTTCCGCTCGAATGGCTTCGCCGGCCGACACGATGTCCTCGTGCTCCATTCGCGAAACGTAGTCGGTGTCAAAGTCAAGAGAACGCAAAGAGAAGCGGGCTCCCGAGAGTATAATAGGGGAGGAAAATTACGAAGGCGACCACGGCCAGACAAATACGTCCTATCAAACGATTCGAGAACCCGTGTAATTGCCTCTCGGCGAATGTCCTTGAACGCCGCTCCTCCTTTATTCCCCGTAAATATGATCTTAATGCCGAGCGATGGAAAGTTGCTTACTCGTTTCGCTTATCCTACTCACCGGGGATATTACCATTTTATATTTAGTACAGCGTTTCGATACAAGCCTGGAGAATGCGGTGGATACGGTAGTCGTAAAGTGAAACGCATTACGGATTCCGATAAAAGTAGCAGAGCCTGGTGAATTCGTTTCGAATCGCTAATCGAAGATTTACACGCACGTGTTTCACTTAAATCCTCAATATCTCGGATACATTTCGATTACCTTGTAACTTTACGACCGGTGGATCGAAAGCAACGCCAAGGTATTCCATACCTCGACGTTGTTGCTCCTTTCGTACTCGAGAATACCTTATCAATCGTGAACTGCACGAATGTCGATGAAAAATATAAGGCTTAGCTGAGAGAGTAAAAGAGAGGCGGTGCATGAAGGACGCGTGGAAAGAGAGTATAGCATACGGTACCTACGAACCCCCTCAAGGTTGCTCGTAAATTCAGCCATCCTGGCTCCACGAGGAGAGCCCATATTATAACCGTTCGCTCATTACGTATTCGAGACGCGTCGGGCATTGAAATTTTCGTCGTCGCCCGTGCCGAACTAAATTTGCCAATTTTAATCTATCCTCTAGACTAGGTATACCTGCATCGGCCCTATGCTTCACCACGCAAACCTTTTTCTTTCCTCGAGCAACTCGTACGCAACGTTAGAATATTCAGTTGCAATAGCTGTTTTTTTTTCCCCGCAAGAAACAATTTATTTACTTGGAGATATCGCGCCACCTCTTCTCTCTATAGTTAACCACCGCGAACGCTAATGTTTCGAATGCGTCAAAGGCCACGTCACCTGAGTACAAATGACACCGTTTTTCTCAGAACTGGACGTTAATCGGTAATGTTAATATAGATGTAAGGAAAAAAAAACGTGGAACAGCAAGAGATAACTGATTGAAAAATAATGCAAAATTATGGAAAACATCGGTAAATGGTAAATGTGTAATCTCGACAGATCGCGAGAAAACGGACGACGATCGTGCGACGACCCCTGAATCTCTCCGCAGCAGCAGTCCAGCCTCCTCTCCGCCTCCGCAATGGCAATCGTCGAGCACACCAACGAGCACACCACCTCGAAGATTCATCTCGAGTATCCTAGGCGGAGATGTGCCGTACGGAAGCAGAGGTCACGTGCTGACCCGTGCGGAACGCAAGGAATACAGCAGCCCTCCTATCGCACCCTCGTCCAGCGATGCTTCTCAGTTTCTCGCGAAATCGGAGAAGCTGGTGCTGCCCAGACCGAGCACCCCTCCAAAGACGCCGCGTGTCGAACCACCGACCAGGGTTTCGGTCATCCAGAGGGTTCCCTCCCAGAGCCAATCGGCCTCTAGGAGGGAGGACAATAAAGTCGAGGTACCGCAGACTCAAGAACCGGAACAGGTAACCATACTTCCTCCAAGAACCTTCTTCTTTTTTTTTTTTGACTACTGCAACGATAAAATTTTCTTCGGTATTCCTGTAAGATTGTTGCAACTGATTGTACTCGTCCTTCGCTAAGACCAGCATAGAACAACTTCGAAACTTCACCGTCCCGTGTAACCAGCTTGCTAAGAAGAATTTCATGAATACAGATGCATATGTTAATTAAATCCCCCGAGGAGTACGAGGCGGCTTGTGACATTGCGTGTTATCTTTGCAGGAACAACCGATCGATTACGCGGTGCCGAAGAGAAAGGAGGAGGACGAGGAGCGAGGCCGTGAAGGCGCAAAAGTGTCGCGCGCGATCGGCAACTCGATCGCCAGGCCTCTCCTGGCCATGAGACTATCCGGTCCTCAGGTGGTCCATGCAGCCGCTGGCCACGGAAGATCGTCTAGTTCTGGTAGCAACGGTAGTTCCGGTTCCAGTAGCGGCTCCAGTAATTCAGGCAGCTCCTCTTCCAATTCTACCGGAAGCAGCAGCTATTGTGGTGGAGGAGCGGTCACAGGAGGAAGTGGCGGTGGTGGTGCTGTTGGCGGTGGCGCCGGAGGAGGAATGAATCCTGGAGGAAACGGTGGTCGTGGAAACTATGGGCCAAGTTCGCCGCCTACCGGTTCCCTCCCACCTTTCTACGAATCTCTCAAAGGAGGGAACAATCTGGCGAATTTTGCGAACCAATACAACAGTACTCAAGGTAAAACGTCGCAGATGCGAGCTTCTTTTCACCCGTACGATTCTACAAATCGTGTATATTCCTATAATTAACGATCTTTACAGGAAACGGTTACCTGACACCGTCGCCAGCGGTAGGAATGGAGTGTGACACGGGACAACAGGACGTAAACTCTCAACATTCTCAGTACAACGCCCAAGAGGGCAAACAATACTCCCTCTTACAAAACGTCTGCGCCTCCTACGGTTTAACGTTAAAGGAGGAGGAAGATTTGTCTCCGTACAAGATCCAAGCGAACGATCTTCTCTCGGGACAGTACGGTGCCTACGATATGACCGACACGGGAATGATGGTGGACATGGTGACCGGAGCGGTGGTGGATCCTCTTCAATTCACCGCCACGCTGACCTTCAGCTCGCCCTCCGACCACACAGCACTTCTGGAAAGCCTCAGCGACGCTGCTGACCTGTTTCTGCCGAGGCTACCAGCCGAAGATGGCAGCAACGATCTCCTGGAAGAATCGTTACACTCTCCAGCCTCTGCCGGCAGTGGAATTGGCCAGGATGCCGGACAAATGACCACTCCTGTGGAACCTAGCGTCGATCCCTTCCCCGAGCACAGCATGGCCTTGACCAGGGGCTTCGACGCGTCGAGGTAAATACTCATTGGCGATTCGTTTCTTCGGAACCGAGCTGCTTTCGATGTTCGCACGCGATACCGCCTTGCAAGTCGCCTCTCTCTTTCTCCAACGTGCGTCTACGCCCGATCAAAGTCACGTGCTCGTTGCCACCAGCGAGATCGAGGGAAAGATTGGCAGGTTGCTCTTTGAATGGGGAACAGCAACAGATTGGAAACGGGTCTCTATTTTCTCCTCGGCACGATACGAACAGAAAATTTCATCGCACCGAATGTTTCTCAACTTCTAACTTCTCCTATGCTGAAGCATCGAAAGTTGTTCGTCGACCGTCTGAAAATAACACAAATAAACAACCGTCTCTGTTCAGGCACTACACGGCAGCTCCTCAACATTTCAGCAACTCGAAATTAGGACTGACATACAACACCGGCGAGTCGAGTTATCAGTCTGTCTCCAAGGAACGTCCAGAGCTGGCTCTTCACATAAACCAGAACCAGCATCATCAGTCTGAGCCTCAGTTGCAACAGTTGCAGATACAGGTTCAGCTTCAGCAACAGCAACAACAACAGCAACAACAGCAGCAGCAACAAACCACAGCCACGTCGCCTCATCAGCAGCAACACCAAGGACTCTTGAGTCCAGGATTAAGCTTCACCGGTAGTGGTTAGTGTTCTTACCTTCCTTCCGTTTCATCCTTTTTGAAACAACCTGTACATATCTTTTTACACGTTAATTAGCTAGGAAGACAAGACGTTGTAGCACCTTGTAAGCGTTTCACCATGTTGATTTCAAGGTCTGGAACTAGATTCAGGTAGCAGCGTTGGTGGAAGTCTACCGAGTCCTGGAGCTGCGAGCTGTTCGTTGGACGCTGCCTCGACTAGCACGTCGCCGTCATGCGCTCTTATGGAACACGCAGCAAGCCCATCGGCCACAGTGTCCTCGGCGTCGGTGAGCACCGTACAACCAACCGGGCCAGTTGGAGAACCACCACTGACGCAACGGGTCGGTGTACTACAGCAAAGGGTAAGCACCCGAAATTGATCCAGGCAAAAGCATACTTCTTCTTGTTCTCCAAGTTGAACGTAGATAATGAAATCTATATGGCATTGTCAACCGATCTTTCTTATCCTTCTCTTGCGTATACTCTTATGGTATACTCTGAATGGTAACGACGTTGAAAGTTGCCTTCCTCTGATATTGTTTCCATAGTGATACGTAACTGGAAATTTGCCATATAGAGATTGAAAGACTTGGAAGTTTTAACGTCGTCTCGTTGAACCGTATTGAAATCCACGCGATCGCACAATTATGCAATGCCAATCAAATTGAGTGCTTCATCCAGTGTCACCGATTGTACCGTACAAACAACTGTCGGATCGATTAAATAAATTGTCCTTTATTCGTAGCTGGGACTGCCAGGTGACTGTCAGTTGGAGTTCGTCAACGGCGGCCACGGTATTAAAAATCCTCTGGCGATCGAGGGTCAGAGACAGGCCGCGGCAAATCGCGAGGAAGAGAGGGCAACCCGACCTCCGCCTGGCAAGGTAAACGTCATTCTTCAACGCTTTTCCTGCGCTATCGACATTCCTCCGAGCTTTAGATTTAGTAGTTTAAATAACACGCCTTATAGATCCAACATTCTGATTAGCCAGTTCCAGTTTTGCAGCTGTGGTTACATATTTTCTGTAGCTGTACCGAGCCTTGCTGTCATACCAGTCGAGAAGTATTCAAGAATGAAAAGGGGAATTTGTTGATATTTTCAGGACGACGATCCAAATCGATTCACGTGCCGCGTCTGCAGCAAGAACTTCAGCCTGCAACGGCTGTTGAACCGCCACATGAAATGCCACAGCGACGTGAAACGTTATTTATGCACGTTCTGCGGGAAAGGTTTCAACGACACGTTCGACCTGAAGAGGCACACGAGAACGCACACAGGCGTTCGACCCTACAAGTGCAATCTCTGCGAGAAGAGCTTCACCCAGAGATGCTCTCTGGAAAGTCACTGCCTTAAGGTTCACGGTGTTCAGCATCAGTACGCCTACAAGGAACGTCGCACAAAGGTGAGAAGACAATCTAAAGTCAACGAATAACAGTAAGATTGGTAACGTTTAGTACACCCGGTACATAGAGATCAACGATTTTCGAGAAATTTTATCTCCTCTTTGGAACTTGTACCCGGGTGTTTATCGATGAGAATAATTAGAAGCACGGAAATATATTTTAGGTGCTCTGACTAATTGTTTACTATCGATAAATCATGCGCCTAGTAATCAAAATGCAAATAAAGTATCGATGATTGGTGAAACACCATGACTGTGTTATAAATACGCGTTATTGAAAGTATACGTGAGAGTTGACCGATGTTGTATCGTTCTATTTAGGTGTACGTATGCGAAGAATGTGGTCACACGACGCAGGAGCCGGAGGTTCATTACCTTCACCTGAAAGATAAGCACCCATACAGCCCGGCGTTGTTGAAGTTCTACGATAAGCGACATTTCAAGTTCACCAACAGCAATTTCGCCAACATGCTGCTCCAGGTGCGCACGTAGACTCCGATTAGAGTACAGTATGACAGTTTTGTAAGATGCCGTCATATAAGTAAGACAAATAAAAACGAAAAATATATACGTGTCGGTGACCGCCAGTTACGGACGTTCGATGTAGGTAATTACGAAGCTAGGGAAACGACGAAGGAATACGTAAAGCGGATCGAAACACAGAGAGAACGTAATAGTTTCGTGTGGAGTAGAGGAAAAAAAAAATCCGTAAATAAGTAAATAAATAAATATAGAGTACGAAGAAATACGAGCTGAGAAATCCGATAGTCGAACAAAAAGAATAGCAGATTCAAGAACGCGAAATTGTTCTTGGTCATGTAACTCTTCAGGGTGGCCTGTTGCAACGGGACTCGCGGAATAAGGACAGCTGCGTAAAGTCAGCCTCGAAAAGCCTCGAAGGGCCTCTTCGACGCGCCACGGCATTGTTGCATCTGGGTCGAGCTTCCAGCTTCTGATGACGCACAGGAGGAGGATGGAAGAAGAAAGAAGAGGAAGAAGAGGAGAGGAGAGTAGGCTAGCTCCAATTTTAGCCACTCAACCGGAACTCCATCGAACGGATCCCGAAGTAAACGTCGCGCGAAAAGTACCTGCAGGTGGCTCCCCTTTAGCGGTGAACACACGACGGCATCGAGGGCCGATGACGATCGGATTACCGTCAAATTCCAACGTGGAATTCGTGATTGTCCACGAGGGCTTATCTGCGATTCCCTGGATGTAGAAAAAAAAAAGGGAAAAAAAAGCATACACTCGTATACACAGTATTGCGCTATCGAGTACGCGATCTTTTACGCGTAAGTTTTTACCGACTGTAGGTAATACGTATATGTACAGGTACATGTATAGATTTATACGCTATTGCTAGGTTACGAAACGAAGAAGACAAGTCAGAGTGGCGAAAAAGTAACACCCGAAGACTCGGATCGAACGTTTCAGGAATGATTAATATTTCTTCTCGTCGACGAAGTTTCCTTGCACGAGATGAGACAGCGCGATTTTCCTTCTGAACGATTTTTTTTTTTGTTTTTTTTTTTCTCCAAGCGATGCATGGCAAGTTACGTTACTTTCCGACTTAGAGGGTGAGAAAATTACGCAGAATTATCTGACATCTGACGATACGTGTCAGATACTTCTCGAATTTCTTTTTCATTACAGCGAGATAACGATATCATCATCGGTAAAAAAAAAAATATATAGTATATCGTGTCTCGAGGTAATTGTTCTTATTTCCAATCGTTGCGTTCCTCGTTGACTGACGCGTTCGGGGAAACACGTTGCGCAAACGAATTTTTATTTTTGTTTTTAATTAATAGACGCCTATCGGTACGCACCTTGGGAAATCTGTGATATAATAAGACACGATTTTTTTTTTACTCGCTCCTCCGCGCACAAGATTTCGCTTCTTGCACCTTGGTTCTTTCGTGGGGTATTTACGCACCAACATAGTGGAGTGAGATAACACGACACACATACACATACTTTTACACGGCGCTTTCTGATTCGGACGAATATTCATTGTCGATCGTAGCAATTTTACGATTCATTTTAAATTCAATACGACTTGCGCTTTTGGCACCAAACTTTTTTTTTTTATTGAAAAAAACGATCTTGCTAATGACAAAACAAAAAGAGCCGTACACTTACGACACACAGACACAATGGGGTTTCGTGCAATTCTACGGTGGTAGGACATACGTTAATTTGGACGACATGTGGGTGGACATGCGTAAGAGGACCGCGTTCGCAACTCGATTTATCGTTGAAAAAAATGATTCGAGTCTTCGTCGGGGCGAAAATTTTCATGATTTCGCGAGTAAACTAAAATCCCAGTTACTTAAATAGAAATAGAGAGACAACCTACCGGTAACACACCGAATTATAGTCCGCGAAACGGGTATATAATTTTTGTAGGGACCAATCGGGTGCTGAGTAAAGTGCACGATCGATACGATTGGAAAGAAATCGATTAATAGTAGAACTCTATAGGGATTTATGGTTAATATCAAAATCTTTAAAAACCCCTAGAATCTTCGAGAATCATTAGAACAGTTTACATATACGAAGGAATCTCGAGGTGTTGGGAATAGTGTCGGGATCGTGGAAACCGTAGATTTTTAAGATGCTTGAAATTTATAGGAACTTTATTGGTTTCCATGATGTTCACATGGAAACAGAGAGCCGAAAGTGAACACAACGAATGAAACGTCTCGAAACATGCAATACGTTTAGAGCTGCGGTGCACATTTTCGAATATCGTTAAGCCTCCGGTAAGCTTGCGTTCAGTGTAAATAGTATTCACATACAGATAGTTGTTAGAATATCTTCGAGATCTTTTACGATCTCCCGGTATATTGGACGAACAGATTAACGCTCGTACAACGAATATTGGGTGAAACTGTACATAGTAAATATTAATCGGGTTGCACGAGACGAAACAGAGTCTTAACCTTCGATCATTCGGTACCCTTTTATATCGATAATGTTGTATACTATCTTCGCGTTTTTCTTTCCCTTGACAATACTCGAGGACAATGGTACTTCTCGTCGCAATCTGTTTATCGTCACGAACAATATCTTATTGCTAATATTATTATATTTTTATTATTATTATTATTATTAATATTATTTCTATTACGATTATTTAATTTACGTCCAGTATTGTCTCAAACAGAAGCACCTAGATATTTCTATTATCATTATTAATACGAATTTTCCATTTATACCTGCTATCATTTACACCCATATTCACCAATAGTTATTTATCTTGACGTTTCAACACGTTAAGACTTTATCACCCCCCTAGTACTATTGCAATGATTAATATTATATTATTATTATTATCATCGTTATTGCTGCTCGATTAATAATTCTGGTTATTGACTTTATTATTAATATATAAATATATATATATATAGTTATATACATAGAAATATATGTATATCGACGTTATTATTGTCTGCAAAAAAACGACTTCTTTTTTTTTTTCTTGTTGCGTGGAAGATCAATTTGGTAGGGTGTGCGGCATGATGATCTACGTTCGAATTTTTGTTCGAGTGTGTGTTTTAAATGTACGTTCGACTCGGACGGATGTGTGCGTGTGTGCGTGTATGTGCGTGCGTGAGAGAATGAAGCGTGTTTCGCATGACTGTTCAACATACTGTGTATATCGCATTTTTTTGGGGGATTAGAAATGTCGAATAACCGTCGTCGAAGTATCGATCTAGGCTCTCAACCCGATCGTCGTTCATTTGATGCTAACCGTAATGAAGTACGGATTATGCGCTGTCTGTGTATGTAGAAATGGAAAAAGATAATAAAATTAATATTATATGCACCTTGCGATATTTCAATCCTTACTTACTAAGGGGATAGATAAAGGTGTTAATAATTCATTGTACAATTTGCATAAATATACGTATATATTGAATATAATCTTTGATAGTTATACAGTCGCTCATTAGTTGCATTAATATAATACAATCTACGAGTCAAGCGATCCCCCTAGTCACGAGTCTCTTGGCGACAAAACGTAGCCGAAGCTTCTTCGTGGAGTGACTTCTCAAAGGAGAAATGGCGCCAATGAAACAATAGATCCTTTGGTCGCGCGTACAATCAGCTAACAAGCTTGCGCGTCGATGCACTAGCAAGGCTGCAATGTCAAAATGATAAGAGACACAGAGAGCTACTGCTACGGTTAAACTACTACTCCAGGATGTGCTTTATCTGCAACAGAGAATGACGCCGGTGGGTGACGATTCCTCGGCAGGGACGCAACGAACGAGTATGTACAACACGGTGGGGCAAAATTACGCTTGATGGTCGTTTGTCGATGGCCTGCTCGACTCCGACCCTCTGGATCTTTCGATCGACGGTTTTTTTCGTCGATCAATGCTGTGCAATTCGGTAAATGAGATAGGAAATCGCTCTGTTGAAGACGACGATCTCGTAACACTTTCGTCTGTGCTCAACACAACTCGAGCTCGATCAGCGATAACGCACACTTGTGTGTTGTTTTTTTTTATTTACTCACTACTGATCACGGAGCTGAATGGTACGTATCTGGGCTTCACAGGTACCTTCGGCGCATCCTTTCGACCTCCCGGTGACTTCTCGTCGTTTAGAAGACGTTTCACCTAGGATCGTTGGTTTTTTTAACAATCACTTTAGGTTTCATGGCATTGCAAACCAGTGCAACTAACCTGTTCGTCGATTGCATTGAACTGCCATTTCCACGTGTGATTGTACAGAAAAGGACGATGATCGAATCTATTGTCGTCGGGGCTGTAAGTCTCCGCGTGACAGGATGGTGTCAGAATAGTCATTTTATGTCGATTTATAGCATAGCATCTGTAGAAGTGTTTCACCTTATCTGCCACCTATAAATGAATTTACAAACGTCAACACCCTTTTTCCTTCGTAATAATAAAGAACAGCGGAAGTTGCAACTATATTCACTTCTTTCGGAGTACACTTATCCCACATGTGGACAAGTCTACAAAACATTGTGAAAGGACCGGCGCAGTCTTGCTTTCTCAAACGTCCAAAAGTACCCAGTTCCTTATATGTCATGCCCATATCAACTTCATCAAGCTGTGAAAGTTGTCCTCCTTGAAGGGGCTCCAATTCCGCAGTTGGAGGAGCATCCAAGATACCATCTAAAGCGCTTATCCCGTGTTTCTTCCTGAAACCAGTCAAATAATTATACTCGCATGCGTTCAAGCTATCGAAAAAAAAAAAAAAAAAATACCAGACCTAGATATTGACCTAAAATAACTGAGGAACGCTTTCAAGTCGTTCTTGGCAATTCCGCCTATGGGGTTGATGTCGGCGCTACTGCAATCGTATTTAGTGAAGTATCCTCGAAGAGCTTCGTCAACGTTACTGCTTCCTAGCACAAGAAGACCACCCGGTCGTCCTCTAACCCACAGCATCAGTTGAGCAAACAAATAAGCTATCACCATTCTCAAGCGAGCCTTGCAAAAATAACAAACGACTGGAATTTCATTTATTTCTCGCAAGGATAACGACGCGAAGAATAGAAACAGACTTGTATGTTTTGCAGAGCTAAACTTTCTCTCGGAGATCCTCCTTGCACTTTGAATCTCGGCATCAGCTTTGTAACTTGTTGGAAAATAGTTAAAATAGCGGACACAGCAACGTCGATCACTATACTATGATGATACGAGCCAATTTGACCGGCGAGTTCGGTAGCTCGTGCCTTCGTTTCAGCAGATGAGTTTTCAGTACCCATGTAGCACGTGACAAGAATGGTATTGCAGAGTTGTTTAGGATCAGTCGGCACGTACTCGCAGTCACCGACTATTTTCCTGATATCTGACAATACCTGTGCGTCTAAGAACAAATATTTAAATTAGATCTTGTATATTTTTTCAATAATTACAAGAATGATAATACATACCTCCTTTGTTAACCGAATCCACGATCATGTCGCACATGGAATAAACCATACAAGCTGAAGATGCTGAGTCGACGCCACCGCTCAAGGGTAAAAAGAATCCTCCTTGACAAGAACGCCTATTATAAATTCAACGATAAATAAACAGCATTGTGACTACATTAAGATACATTTAAAACATCAAACCTAAGATAATCCCAGAGCCAGCAAGCAGGAGCCATCGAAATTTCTTCCTCTGGAGTGTGATAGACAAGCTTGCCCGTTACATTCTCGCTTTCGTAAGGTCCTAAGTCTATATCGATCGGTCTATCCGGAGGGGTTGAAATCAGACTTTCCGAAGTTAGGGCAAAGTCCACCTTAACACGTGGATAACTCGGCGATCTAGCAGCTGCGTGTGATCGTGACCTGATATTATTTCTGTAACTCCTACAGAAGACACAAACCCTTTATCGTTCACCCTACATTTCACGACGTTGAAACTATCTTCGAACAGAACTGCGAACCTTATATTCTCCAGATCAAACGTCGCCACAACCACCTCGACATCGTCCAAAGCAAACTGTTTACCACGATTCAAGATCTGACCGTTCAAGGTAACACACGATCCCCCGTTGAAGTACAATCTCGAACCGTCGCAACCCCTTAAATTACTGAACATGTAACAGCCCCCTGACTTGAACGTAGCTGATTTAACCAGGTCCACGGTGACGTATCCTTTCCTCAGCTCGAAGTAGGAGCCGCTGCCTGCAAAATAGAACCTCCCATAAATAAAAGAAACGAAACACAGCGTACAAAAGTAACGCATACAAACAGTTGTCTACCGTTTGCAATAATTTCAACACCGTCCAAGGACATAGGAATGTGATTGCTCATCGGGTTCCATAGTTCCTCGCAAATTTCAAAACCCACGCACGTGTCTCTGGTAGAAATAACAGCATCGCCAAAAGGCACCACCGTCTGCCCGGTGATCTGAGATATCATTCTCGGCAGAAAGTAGTCCTCGACCGTGCGTTCCTGCATAAACAATCAGCGTTTGTGTACCAAGACGAACAGTATGCAACTCTCGATACCGAGTCTACGAAGTGGAGACGGTCGGGAACTATTCTAATTCGTTATGCATCACGCGTGCAATCTAAAAGAGAGAGAGAGAGAGAGAGAATAACCTTGGTCCATGGAGAGAACCATCTGGTTTCCCTGTAATTGCCGTCCTCGCACAATTGCATCTTCGGTCTGATGAGCAGAATTCGTCGATTCAGAAAGGCTACCCTGCAATTGTAAGTGACATTCTTGTGCATGACCGGCATACCAACGTCGATCAGCATGTCCTCGGCGATCGGAGACTTGAGGAGAGTCGCGAGCACCTCCCAGCTGTGAAGCAACGTGTCTGGCTCGTAGAAATGGTCCTCGCAGCTGTAGCCACTGTTGGAAGAGAAGAAGAATTCGAATAGTAAGTTGATCGTTTGCTGGATAAAAGAGACGGATTTTACCAAATTTCCAATTCTGGACCGCTTCTGTAAGTTGCTCCAGCGTCTTTAGCTTCTTGGATGCTCTGCAAAATTCTTCTGGAATTTCCATCGAAATCCATCGCCCACTGATTCAACGTGCAAACTGCTACCGTCACTGTTCGACCCATCTTTCTTCCTTAGATTTCGTAGAAGGCAAGTGGATTTATCTGAAACAGAGAAAATAACAGAACTTGTTTAGACAGTTCGATGTACGTGAATATTTCGTCGGAAGAGAATTAACGGCTGTCGGCGAAACGACGATCGATTCGGACCTATCAATTGAAAGCTCATCGATCGCCAGGTGGAACGTTCGTCGAGGAAATAGCTGTACATCCATTCTCCAGCCAGACGAACGTTGATTGATCAATAATTTTCTGAAGCAGGCAGAGAGAGGGATGTAAATTGCTCGGCTGTTCCGTGCTTCTACGGCCGAAGAATGTCTGGGAAGACGCTGCTAATCGACTTTCGTCGCGAATTCTTCCCTAACAATTCGGTCCTTGTAGAACGGAAAAATGTGTCTCGGACTTTTCAAGCTTGGTAAATGTTTAATTAAGACAGAAATTTCTTCTATCGAACAACTGAAGCTTGTCCTACCGGCAATTCGAAATATCCCAACTTCAGGAACGAATTCAACTGTAATACATCGAGTGATTCAATTTTAGCCGATAAAATTAAGATTTCCACTTGTGAAATTGATCTTCTGTTACCTTCTCTACGGTTTCTCTGGCGAGGAATATTTCCGAAAGACAGAAAAATGACAAAATTTCACAAGTCAAAATTTTTGAAATGAAGAAATTCCTCGCCAAAGAAAGAAACAAGAGATGGGGAAATTTGTGGTCTAGGACGAGCCAGACTTGGCTCGATATAAACGTTCGACGAACCTCGAGGAACGAGGGGGTTCCGAACGATCATCGAGCCGCTGGCTCCGCCCCCGTTTTCCCGTTGTCAGGCAATCGAGGGGCTAACTTTTACGGACTTCCTCTCTCCACGGGGGCAAAGTTCCTGCTCGCAGTTGACGCGCTTGACTCGTCCTGATAGCCAGCTTTCCTTCGATCGAGAGTGAAGATTCCACAAATCCAAGCGTTTCTTCTCCTTCTCTCGAACCGACAGACGAAGATTACTGAAAATATGCGCGTAAGAAGTGACGGAAGATCTCTGTTAACGAACGACTGAGCGAGTGATAGGAAGAGAGAGAAGATGAGCAAGATCGTGTGGATCGAAGAGTGTCGTTCGAGTCGGGAGAAGTTGGAGGTTTGTGGGAAAATCGAGAGGATAAAGTCGAAGAATGAGGAGGAGGACGAGGAGGCCGATGGAAGATAACGAAAAATGAGAGAATTGTTAATCAGGAGCAAGGTGAAGGAACTTCAAGCCATGCTTTTCCCGGTTCATCCGATTCCTGGTAGGTCTGCTATAATTTGTAGAGGGGGGTATTGAAATTTTCTCAGTTTGCTCTAGACGGATTTGTTTGTGGTCGATATAGGTAGCACGCTGGCTGGTATCAGCAAGATTCAGGAATTGCAATTGCTGCAGCTAGGAAGGTACGAAATACCCCGACGAGAGACAGAATTGTCGTTGTTCTCCGTACCATTCGGTACCAGAGATGATCAGTCGCAGGAAAGTCTTCGAAGCGCTTTGGACACCCGTTGCATGATTGATGGAATTACTCAGGAGGCTGCCAGGTGGCCCACGGAGTGCCAAGTAAATAGAAATAGTAAATAGAAAAAAAACATAGTTAAATCGTTGGAAAATGAAGCGCAAGAGTAACGACTATTCCAGGTACTTTCCGAAAGGGTGAAGCACGTAGAATACTCTCCAACCGCTCCAGAGCCGTTCAACGTCCCAACCGGAAAGGAGCCGAGACCGAAACCTCTAGGAGACGAATTCGGCACGGTGATATTTCGTTACCATCCGATCAGCATCGCGAATTACGTGAGTGAACCCTAATTTCGCGATAAAATCGACCTCGCTGTCGCAAATACCACGAACCTGAACATCCGGATGACAACGTATTCCTGGTGGCTAGATCGTCCGACTCGGAGGATTCCAACACCGATCTGCATTTCGAGTCCCGTTTCGAGTCTGGAAATCTGTGCAAAGTGGTGAAGATCACCGATACGTATTATCAGCTGTATCTCAGAAAGGATCTTTACACGCAGAGGCACACGCAGTGGTATTACTTCAGGATATCGAACACTAGAAGTAGAACCACGTATAGGTAAGTTCTTTTTGACCCTTTAACCTGCAACAACGTGTCAGACTCGCGGCAGAGATTCTGGCGATGTGACAAATATAGGTATATTAGTAAAAAACCTGTAACCTGTAACAGATTAGCTTCTGTTGCCTGATACAGTAGTGAAACATTAATATCTGACGGTGACGCTTATATGCATAGTCAGAAAAGAAATCATAGGTTAAGGGGTTAACGCGTTCACTTGCTCACCTGTGACCGGAGATTAATCTTCCCCGTAAATCTTTAAAATAGTTCTGTTGGATTATTACCTGTTGAGGGGTTATATTAAGGTAAAAGATGTTTGGACAAGACGTAGACACCTTTTTTGCTTCAACATTACCGATAATAACTGCTAGTGAAAATAACATAACAGACCAGATGTCATCGGACCCATAGGCCTGTAACTGTTTATACCTACACACCGGCCAAAAGTTTCGAATCACCATCCACTTTTCATCAATACTAAATCTGCTGCTAATTTTTTCCAGATTTGAAGTTTATCTCAATTCTACATTTATCAATTTATCAATTTATTTTCAGGAAATTTTTGTGTAAATTGCAATGCTCGGTGATTGGAAACTTTTGGCCGGTAGTGTAAGTGGCCTGGATAAAAGGCCTCCTTTTTCTCAAGTGGACAACAGACTTTCTGTCGTACCCTTACGAGTTTTTCGCTATTTATTTAACCCATTGATCCAATAAGTTCAAATTCAGATTGTCCATCGTGAATCTCTGCAAAGAAGACAGCTTGTACAACGAAGGACTTCGACCGTTGCTGTATTCGACGGAGGATGCGAAGAAAGGAGCAGTTGGTTGGAGGAGATGCGGCGAAAATATCGCTTACTACAGAAACGATTCTTCGTACGTCGATTATTTTTCGTACTTGCTGAAATTTCACTTTGCCCATTCTGTCTTCCTTCCTCAGGAGCGACGAGGAAAAAGAGAAGCACACGTTGACGTTCAACGTGTCTTTCCCTCACGACAGAGACACCGTGTATTTGGCGCATTGCTATCCGTACACGTACACCGATTTGCAGGTAATAACAGCGAAACAACTGGGTTGAGAATAAGTGGAAGAAGATAAATTAGGTCAGACTGGACAAATTTTGCCCAAACGAAACTTGATTAACCCTTTCGCGACTAGCGCCGGTTATATCCGGCATCCGCTAAGCGCGTCGCTTCAACAGCACAAAATACCCTTTATTCGATTCCAACGAAATCCAAGTTAACTAAAATCTCGTAAAATTATTTAGGAGTATCTGGCCAGGCTAGTCGCAGATCCTATAAAAACTAGGTTCACCAAACTGCGACTACTGTGCCGAACATTGGCCGGAAATGGTGTCTACTATTTGACGATCACTGCCCCTGCCTACGACGAAGAGGTGCGAAGGAAAAGAGGGATCGTTATCACGGCAAGGGTTCATCCTGGAGAAACGCCGTCGAGCTGGACGATGAAAGGGATCATTGACTTCCTAACCGGGGAATCGGATCAAGCTAGGGTAAGGTGAAATTCCTTAGACCTTGAAGTTAGCGTTAGTTATCTTATTAGAAGACATCGCCAACGAGCGGAACCTTAGAATCTCGGTGGCGCGTACAGAGAGATAGAGATTTCTGGACACAGCTTACACTCGAAAGCCTCTAATTAAGCATATTTGAGAAATGTAAAGCCTCGATAATAATTTCACCGATGCAGATACTTCGAGAGAGATTCGTATTCAAGCTGGTTCCTATGCTGAATCCCGACGGTGTTATCGTTGGCAACAATCGTTGCTCGTTATCGGGCAAAGACCTGAACAGACAGTACAGAACCGTGATGAGGGAGAGCTACCCTTCTGTTTGGCACACCAAATTGATGATCAGACGGCTGCTCGAGGAATGTGGAGTGGCTATTTACTGCGACTTGCACGCTCACTCCAGGAAGCACAATATATTCGTTTACGGATGTGAAAGCAAGAGGACTGCGTCGCAAACCAGACTCTCCGAGCAAGTGTTTCCACTTATGCTTCACAAGAACGCAGCTGATAAGGTGCGCCAATTCAGTTCTATACATATTCGATGTGACGTCTGGTCATTTGCAAGAATCTTCTCCTTCGCAGTTCTCCTTCGAAAACTGCAAGTTCCACGTGGAAAAGGGCAAAGAAGGTACGGGAAGAGTGGTAGTTTGGTCCATGGGGGTGCAGAATAGTTACACCATGGAGGCGTCGATGGGAGGAACGAAGATTGGTTCCAGATCTGGGACTCACTTTTCTACTCAAGATTACGAACAAATCGGCAAAGTATTCTGCGAAACCCTCTTGGATTTCTTCGATACAGACCCAGTCAAGGTACTCCGATGCCTATTTCAACCACCTTTTCAAACAGAAATTCAATCTCTCTGTCTCTAAACTCGTATTTCTTTTGCAAACAGGAAAGGCTTCGCAACAAAATAGTAGCCAGACTAATGAAAGAAGGTTCCAGCGCTGAGGAACCGACAAACATCGACCTGACTGATTACTCCAGGTACGTTTCAACCTTCAAATTCCAACATCGATAGATCGATTGTCCACCTGAATTTTTCATCAGCGACGAGGGAGACACGTCGGACAGTTCTACTTCGGAGAAAGAAGAAGACTTCGTCGAGAGCGCTTGGTCTTACAACGCGAGAGAACCGATCGTCTCTTCTCAATATTTATGCGCTCCTCCGCCTACTCCGACGTTCACTCGAAGCTTCGAATTGGCGAGGAGAAGGAGCAAGAAGGGAACAGCTGGTAGTAGATGTTACATTCGACGCAAAAGGATGATGGTAAAATTTTGTTCCATTCGTTTCAATTAACCCTCCAAGCACATTTTCCTGCATTCCAAACACTCCTTGCACTCCTTCACTTAGAGAGTTAACATTTTCCACTCGAATGGCGACTGAAAAGCGACAGTATCGTTTACCATTTGATGAACAATTAATCAAGGCTCTCTCGAAGCTGGTAGTATTTTACATTACAAGATCTTGTAACATTACAAGATCTTGTATAATATAAAATAGCTACGTTTGTCGATATATGTATAACTTATTTCTGTTTGTTAGTTAAAAAAATTTCATCAATGAAATTTAGCAATTACTAAATATCAATGTTCAAGGCAATTAGCACGGTTTGCTGCTTTCCTATAGCAAAGAGATCTTCGAGTGCAAAGGGTTAGAGGGTTAAATTTTCTTTGTTTCTTAATTTTTATTATATTTCTGTTCCTAGACTAGGAGAGCGGTAATGGATTTGCCAACCACGGATCCAGGTAGCGATTTGTACGATTATACCGATTCCGGAGACGAAGGTCTAACGAGACCGGAAGGTAATATAATTGAATTAAACGCAGATTAAAAGATATCAAACGTATCGTGTCGATTCGTCTCAGAAAGAATTCGTGAACGTTGCGTGGAAGATGCTGTGCATCTAGTGGACAAAGAAATGGAAACTAGCGAGAAGGAGAAAACTGGCAACGACGATTTAATCTTGCCAGAAATAGTCAGACCACGTAGTATGTCGCTGGGTGAAAATTTAAGCGTGAACAAAGAAGAATCTAACACTAACAGACGATCTCATTGTCTTCGTTTAATCAGGTAAAAGAAATAAGTTACTAAAGTATTCTAAAAAATATACTGTTCTTTGTTTTAATTGATACAGAACACTTAGACATCGTTCACCTGTTCCACCGAAGAATCAAGAGATAGAAATTAAGCTCAGTTCACTGCGACAACAAATATGGATGGGTGTTCCGTTGAACATCACGGAAAATATTGAAAAAAGAATCGAACGCCCGTTTGTAAAGGGACCGCTAAGCTGGGGGATTTCTAATATGGCGGTAACGCGAGATAAAATGAACAGCGACGTGTTGTTAAAGTGCGCAATATTTTTTTCTTATGGACACAAATGTTTAACCAATAAGATTAGATACTAGAGTTTCGACGCTTGTTCCAGATCTTGCTCGAAAAAGTTGCAGTCCCTCGACTACAACGTTAACGTTGAGAACAGCACGCGAAAAATGCATAGAAAATACAAAAGCGAAGATGCGATACGCTCGAGGAACAGCAGCCCAGAAGTGAAAAACCAACGCGAAGACATCGAACGGAAACAAAGGAAAAAGAAGTCCCCTCTCAAGTGGCAGAAAATAGTCGATCTAAATTCGAGAGTCGAAGAAATCTGTCACAGAAAGGCGTCCTATTTGACGATCAAAGCAGACTCCTTGAAATTAGTCACTCTCCAAGTACCTTCCAAAGTGCAAACGCGGCAACGTAAAATCGAATCTCGAAGGAAGCATCGTAAAAATGGCGCGAACTGTACTATTGCTAGCGTTGGAAAAACGTCGGACGTCGCGAAATCTCAAATACAATCGCATTCCCGATCCCATATCCAACTGATACAGCCTTTAATCGTTCCTCTATGCGACAGCTTCTCCTCGGACAACGACTCTACGGATTCTCGTAAACAGAGAACCTCGAAGAAAAAACAGAAGAAAAAGAAACAATCGAAAAAGACAAAATCCACTACAGCAGCGGGAAGAAAAAAGCGTGCTACTAGCGCGAACGTGTTACGTAACCCATGACCGATTTTGTAAACAAACAAGAACATTGTGTTTCGCAATATTTTCATCCAAGTTTCTTCTACGAGAAACTTTGTTTTGTATTTTTAAACGTACCTCGTAAACGTGCGTTATATCGAATAATAAAAACCTTTCACTAAATGGCTTCACCTATACGTATACACACATGCATGGTGCTTATAAACGAGACTGTACGATAATTCGTTGTTCAATTAGGGATTACAACGTAGTTACATAATGAAATTTTACGAGATAACGAGAGACGCACGCTAGAGGCGAGCTCGAGATAATTAACCAAAGTACTTACGATTCTCCGTTAGTCCAACGAAAAAAATATGGGACAATCGTGTAGGCCTGTGTTTGTTATAGATACAACTATTAATCGCGCGTTCTAAGAATGACGTGCACGAAAGCCGGGCTGTTTCCTCCACGTGCTTTTTACGAGAAATTGCCAAATCTACGGTTCGACGAAAATAACATAACCTCACAAACTGTTGTCAACACTTTAAGCAATGATTTTCCAGCGTAACTCGTTCCAATTGCGTGATGTTGATCAACGGAAATACATTTCAGTAACGAATACTTTTCAACGAAAAACTTTGAAAATACGAATCTTTTGAAAAATCTAATTTGACGTAACACTTTTTAGTACGTTATTGTACAAATTTTATACGGAACAGTTCGATTTTGTTCACAAAGCACTGTAGGGGTATTATTTGCAATGATATTTAAGTAGTTTTAACGTATAACTTTAATTGTGAATCGCGAATCATTTTATCACGAGGAACAGCTGCTGTTTTTACGACGTGCTGCCATCTGGTGTACGTACGTAGCTTATGATATCGGTGTGTACATAAAAGATAGACTTAACATCTAAAGGAGGTTTGTGTCCGCGGCACGAGGGCCTAAAGAACCCTTACCATTTTCGTGTCGTTCTTATTAGTAGTATGTAGTTGGGATTCAAATTAAACGTAACTACGAAATTACAACTAAGAAGTAACGTAATTGTTTATCAGTAAATGATTCATCACATGCTGTCTGCCTACTGCTGTCAAAAGATCGTGAACAGTTCTATCCACATAATCTACTATATTTAAATAGTCGTGCTTACTACGAAAGATAATTCGTGACGTATTTAGCAATTCAGAAATGAGTTAGACAAGGAAACGAATACAGTTAGACAAGGATAGTAGTAGTCACGTGGTTAGACAAGGAAAGAAATAGTTAGACAAGGATAGAGAATTTTCAGTCCGAAACTAACGCCATCTCGCGTCTGGTGACGCAAACTACGACTTTTTAATAGGAACACAGAATATAAAAAGAGTTATTAGACAAGGAAAGCACTAGTGTGCGACAAGGACAGAGAGAAAACGCTGCCTATTGGCTGGCGGGCCGCTGAGCTCCGCCAATCAGGCCCTAAATCGCATCGTGTAACACTTTCTAGTACGTTATTGTACAAATTTTATATAGAACAGTTCGATTTTGTTCACAAAGCACTGTAAGGATATTATTTGCAATGATATTTAAGTAGTTTTAACGTATAACTTTAATTGTGAATCGCGAATCATTATTACGAGGAACAGCTGCTGTTTTTACGACGTGCTGCCATCTGGTGTACGTACGTAGCTTATGATATCGGTGTGTACATAAAAGATAGACTTAACATCTAAAGGAGGTTTGTGTCCGCGGCACGAGGGCCTAGAGAGCCCTTACCATTTTCGTGTCGTTCTTATTAGTAGTATGTAATTGGGATTCAAATTAAACGTAACTACGAAATTACAACTAAAGAGTAACGTAATTGTTTATCAGTAAATGATTCATCACATGGTGTCTGCCTACTGCTGTCAAAAGATCGTGAACAGTTCTATCCACATAATCTACTATATTCAAATAGTCGTGTTTACTACGAAAGATAATTCGTTGACGTATTTAGCGATCCAGAAATGAGTTAGACAAGGAAACGAATACAGTTAGACAAGGATAGTAGTAGTCACGTGGTTAGACAAGGAAAGAAATAGTTAGACAAGGATAGAGAATTTTCAGTCCGAAATTAACGCCATCTCGCGTCTGGTGACGCAAACTACGACTTTTTAATAGGAACACAGAATATAAAAAGAGTTATTAGACAAGGAAAGCACTAGTGTGCGACAAGGACAGAGAGAAAACGCTGCCTATTGGCTGGCGGGCCGCTGAGCTCCGCCAATCAGGCCCTAAATCGCATCGGTCGGTGAAAAATCATTAATAACTCATTAATTAGGATGATTTTGTGAACTTTTAGGTTTGAAGAATGTAGTGTGGACCTTTAGCTACTTTCACGTATAGTTTTTAATGCAATAGACCCTTTCAATAATTAGTTATTAATAATTTTAGTACAGGATGTCGGGAATGATGCCGTTTACGTTTATATACGTATACGGTTTTTCAATAATTTCGTAGCTTTCTACTAAATTCCCATGCAACTAACTATATGCACCTGAAAGACAACACCTTTAGCTACATTCTTCTATCATTTTTATTAACATATTCGATCTAATTCAAAAGTAATTAAACATTAAAGGAGAGAGTTCCTATTCATCGTATTCGTATACAGGCAACTCTTATAAACAATTGCTAATATTTAATAAACCACACCACTTACGGTTCCTAAACTAATTGCAGAATATAGATAAAAGTTCATTCTACATTCTTCATGTTTAAAAGTGCATAATTAATCACGCACTTCTAGCAAAATAACGAAAATGTGTTACGCTTCAATGCGAGAGGCGTATACGAGTGTAATATATTTACGGTTTTTCAATAATTTCATAGCTTTTTACTAAATTCTCATACAACTAACTGTACGCATCTGAAAGGTAACTCCTTTGGCTACATTCTCATATAATCCTAATTAATATATCTCTTGTGGTTTGAATGTTATTTAACATTCTTTGAGAGAGTATTACACTCGTCGCATTCAATCGTAACACATTTTCGTTATTTCAATAGAAATGCGTGATTAATTATGCACTTTTAAGCATGCAGAATATAGAATAGACTTTTATTTATATTCTCCAATAATTTTTGTAGTCGTAAGTGATGTGGTTTATTAGATATTAACAATTGTTTGTAACATTCGACTATATTCGGGTAAGATGAATAGGGACTCTCTCCTTTAATGTTTAATTGCTCTTGAACTAAGCCGAATATGTTAATAAAAATTATAGAAGAATGTAGCTAAAGGTTTTGCCTTTCAGGTGCATATAGTTAGTTGCATGGGAATATCGTAGAAGGCTATGAAATTGTTGAAAAACCGTAAAGATGCTTGAAGGTATGCGGTATCGTTCCCGACATCGCGTACTAAAATTGCGAATAACTAATTATCGAAAGGGTCAATTGCATTAAAAACTATACGTGAAAGTAGCTAAAGGTCCACGCTACATTCTTCGATCCTAAAAGTTCACAAAATCATCCTAATTAATAAGTTATCAATGATTTTTCTCTGACCGACTTGATACAGCGCGTGGGAGGTGGAGCATGGCGGCCAGCGGGCCAATAGGAAACGTTCTCTCTCTGTCCTTCTCGCACACTAGTGCTTTCCTTGTCTAATACCTCTGTTTATATTCTGTATTCCTATTAAAAAGTCGTAGTTCCAATCACTAAAAATAAGATGGCGCCAGTTTTACTTTTCAAATTTTCTGTCCTTGTCTATCCCTATATCTTTCCTTGTCTTAATCATTACTTTAATGCTATCCTTATCTAAGTACCGTTATCCATTTCCTTGTCTCTCTTCGATAATGCTATCCTCGTCATTTTTATTATATTTAATTGATACTTATAAGAAACTTTTAATTGCTTGAACATTACTAAAATATAGTTTATGGCATATTTTGGAGTAATTTAATTATAGAATAATTAGTGTTTCTTCTTAAATAACAATTTAGATGGTTGGCTATAATTATTGGAAGTCAAAACAGCTTGATCATTTAAATTAATTATTTATTGTGAAATTATTGTACAAAATGTATTTTACAAAATGTTATAATATTCCAGTATTGCTTTTTACAGCATTTTACAGTCTATTTATCTCTCCCTTACACACCGCATTCATTTTACATCGCAAAAACCTTATTGTTTAAACAATATTCCATTGTAAAATTAAATAAATTGTACAAAATGTATATTACAAAAGGTTACAATATACCAGTACTATTTTACAGCATTTTACAGTGTATTTACTTCTCCCTTACACACTAAACCCATTTCCTTTTGCAAAAAGTCCATTGTTTAAACAATATTCCATTGCAAAATTAAATAAACAATGTCCAGAAACCACCAGGAATGCGTTTTCATCGAAAAAATCGAAAAAATCCCGAAATTCGAGCGAAAATTACGAAAATTGTGAAACCATATCGAAATTCGGTGTGAGAATACCCGTCGGGTGCTAAAGTCCTCGAGAATTCCTGGAAATGACGTCATTTCTCGGAAATGACGAAATTTCCAAGAATCGAGTCACTTCCAGGAATCGACCTCCTATCGTATCATGTTCGCCTATTAGAATGTCGATTTTCGGACAGAAATTTTCGAAAATCGAAAATCCTGACTTTGTATTAGGCGAATATGATGTGACAGGAGGTCGCTTCTTGGAATCGCCCCGATTCTTGGAAATTTCGTCATTTCTCGGAAATGACGAAATTTCCAGGAATTCCCGACAACCGAAATTTTCGAAGACCCTTTGGCCAAAAATCGACTTTCTAATAGGCGAACATGATACGTTAGGAGGTCGATTCCTGGAAGTGACTCGATTCTTGGAAATGACCAAATTCCAGGAATTCTCGAGAACTGAAATTTTCGAAGGACCATTGGTCAATTCTTGGAATCGCCTCGATTCTTGGAAATTTCGTCATTTCCGAGAAATGACGTCATTTCCAGGAATTCTCGAGGACTTTAGCACCCGACGGGTATTCTCACACCGAATTTCGATATGGTTTCACAATTTTCGTAATTTTCGCTCGAATTTCGGGATTTTTTCGATTTTTTCGATGAAAACGCATTCCTGGTGGTTTCTGGACATTGTTTATTTAATTTTGCAATGGAATATTGTTTAAACAATGGACTTTTTGCAAAAGGAAATGGGTTTAGTGTGTAAGGGAGAAGTAAATACACTGTAAAATGCTGTAAAATAGTACTGGTATATTGTAACCTTTTGTAATATACATTTTGCACAATAATTTGACAATAAATAATTGGTTTTTTCATAAATAATTGCATTTCTTCATTTTTCCCAATGTTCAAGTCCTTTTCTTGACTTCTTTGGTGTCCAGGGAGGTCAATCTGTAACTCATATGAAAGAACATTAATTTTTATTATTTGTAATAAACGTTATAAACAATTTCTAACTAATATACCGAATTCAATGGTTAATTCAATGCAAAAATAGTATATTACGCTGTTTTATATAGTTAAAGCATACAATAATTTAATTTACGTGTTCCAATAATTATAAACAACCATGTAAATTGTTATTTGACAGGAAACATTATTTATTCTACAATTGAAGTATTTGAAAATAAACCAGAAACTTTATTTTACTATCTAAGTATTTGTAATATGAAAGCAATTAAAAATTTATTATATATATTAATTTTGATCTACTTAGTACGTGCAATTAGGCTCTAATTTACAATACATATTATTCAGAGCGAAAAATTCAAAGACTTCTCATTATACTGTAATAAAAATTATGAGAACATAATTTTTCATTAGTGGATGATCCATTCGATGTTTGTGTTCTACTGCTTTCGAGAGATCGTGAAAATTCTACCCAGGCAATGCAATATATTGTAAATATCTTTACATGCTGATTTAACAAAGGAGGATATTTTACCGCAGACGAGATATAGGGTATACCGATCATCTTACGGGACTTTTTATCACACGATCTGAAATACCGACATCGTCCCAATCTATTGGTTTTGAAGCGCACTCTACGCTTAAGAACGGTCATTTTAAGAACTGTATCACGCTAAACGATCGATATTGGTCGTTTGTACATTGTTACCGTGTTGTCAATACACCCTTGGTTCCCAAAACGCAAATGTATTGACTGAATCCATTCTGATTCATCTTAAGATTCTAAATGTTGTTTCCTTCACTATTTAATATAACAAATATTAAGTGTTCTTGATGGTAACGGGGTTCCAGAACCCCGGACTCGTATGACAAAAAAACACATTAAATGAGTGATCTACTTCTATATCTCTCGTCTGTGCTTTTACATCTGTCGACTTTATCATCTTTAATGGTTAAATTGTATACAATTCCTAAACATACCGCTTTATATCGTAGAGGGTATAACAAAACTTCTGATTTTTTACACGATCGGTATTTCAGAACGTTGGACACAAAAGTACAGTAGGTAATAGGTCTATTTTGTACTTCGTCAGTGTTAGAGCCCTCATACCATGGGACAAAAAAGGCATTGGGTGGTAGGTCTATTCTGTACCTCGTCTGTGGTTTAACTGTCTTATTTGCAATATTTTAAACGCCGCCAACGAATTAATTTTACCGGCTAATTTTACATTTCAAATGAACCGTTAACTCTAATGCGAAATAACGAAATAAAACCATGAAAACGTCTTTGTTGAAGAACATTATCGATTATTTCATTACAATGTCGATATTTTAAATAAAGTTAATGTATAAAATTTTGCTTCAACAACAGTAGGTAGTGTTTTCATCTTGTACACATACATTTTTACTGTATTTTATATGTATGAACAATTTCAATAAAAGTCTTTCATATAAAGAACATTTTTTTACGACTTCCTTTACAAACTGCATTTTCTTTTAAACTTGTCAAATGAAACGGTGGCAGAAGTAACGTCACTTCAAAATTCTCCCGGCATTTTTACCACTGTTGTACTCTGCTGATACCCTTTCCTAACAGAACCTTATTTAATAATTAAATAAACGTGAAATTTAATCTAAAAAATGATCGTTGATTGATTATAAAATGCACCTGCGAATTATGGTTATAATTGCGTTCTATCAAGGTATATTGTCGTACGTTATTGACAATGAGTCATAAAAAAGTTGGGTCATCGAACATTGACCTGGATATCCGGCGATTGTAAGCATAAACGCACGTAACTTTTTCCCAGCAAAACGTCGTTTACAGAAATATAGATTACCTTGTTCAAGGATATTATTACGCGATTTGTAACATTGGATTATCCATATGTCACTACACAATGTTCTTAAAAAATTAACCACACATTTCATAAAAGTATGTTAAAAAAAGAAACATAATATTGCCTATGTAAATATAAGGCAATTCTTGTATTACGTAAACGTAAAGATAATCAACGAAAAACGAACTTTCTTACAGAAAGAGAATAGGTTTCGATTAATTCAATTTTTTAAAACCTTCATTGCCACCGTAAAATGTTTCCGTTGGATAACATTTAAATGTATCGACCGAGGTGAAAAAATTTCGTGAAATTCGTCATATTGACGCGTAGAGCAAATTATCAAAGTAAAATCAACAATTTTCACACACACAAACATAAATGCAAGAGCATTGTTTGTAAATGACAAACAGTAGGTCAAAGCGGAAGTACTCCTGCGTCTTCGATGACTTGACATAATTTTTTTATGATATTCAGTATAATTATGAAAATCATTTCTGATGAAAAAAATTTATATTAATTAATATTGCTCATGTTTCAAAGAATTACCTGATGTATAAGATACAAGCAAAGAAATAATAAAATTTGTATAATATTCTTTAATAATATTGTTTTCAATTATATTAGCTTCTAACAAAAATTAATATAGATACATATTATGATAACATATCGGAGAAATCTGTATACCGCTTTCTTTCTATGCATCAATGAATAGCAGCCACCGTTTTTATTATACCATTCTTCAGGATATCTCAACTTTCAATAGAATCTTATCAGTTTACATTTCTTTTTTTTTAAAGGTTTTCATTTTTTGCGAAAGTAGATATCAATATGAAATATATGAAATATAAATTCGCGTATAACCAAAGGTCGTTGTTTAATTATGAAAATTACGCATAAATGAGAAAGAAAGGATAAGAAAAATACAATAAATGGAGGGAAAAAATGCAAAGAAGAATATGAGTAGAAGTAATTATCGATTCCAATAGAAGCATGGCGCAGCTATTAATTAGTGTCGCGAACCTCTGTTTAAGTAGTGGTGGTCGTAGAAAGGCCTGGTTATAAAAGAGATCGCACGAAGTTGGGAAATCAGTTTGGCGGTGGTTCATCGACAAGAACTCATCGCATAGGTGGTAAAAAAAAAAAAAGGTGGGTGGTGTTTCTCTTTTTCGTCAAACGCGACAATTCTAATACTTCCTTCCTCTACTCGTGAAGATCCAACTGTCTTCTTCAAATGTTCTTCATTTTTGAAATTCAGAGTGCTGTGAAAGTTACAAGTGATCGTTTCTTTTTCTTTGTGACAACGTGACCAAAAGTACAATTACCATTTCACTTTACTTTCAGATAATACGAACAATGTCTGCGGCTGGACCAGAATTGGTAGCCGGATCAATGGCGGCCCCTGCGGCCTCCGGATTCGCGGCATCAACCGTGTTCTTAACCCTTCTTGTCCCTGTCCTAGTCCTCTATTTCATCTACTTCAGAATCTCTAGACGTCATATGCTGGAACTTGCGGAAAAACTGCCGGGTCCACCAGCGTTGCCCATCATTGGTAACGCTCTTGACTTCCTCGGAAGTTCTGACAGTAAGGAAACAGTTTGATTTCTAATATTTCATCGATAAGGACATTATAATTTAGCGTAACTTAAATCGAATAATATCTTTGTTTCACTTTCTTTATTGCAGCCATCTTCCAGAACGTATACGAGAAATCCTTCGAGTACAACGAAGTTATCAGGATTTGGATTGGTCCCAAACTGCTCGTTTTCTTGGTTGACCCACGTGACGTTGAAGTGATTCTCTCAAGTCACGTGTACATCGACAAGTCTGCCGAGTACAAATTCTTCAAACCATGGCTTGGCAATGGTCTTCTCATCTCTACTGGTAAGTTTCACTACATTGACAAACCAATTTAAAAACGATAATAAGACAGAAAGTAAATAATCTCTTCGTAGCAATATAACTTTTACTATGCCGTTTCATTTCGCTTGATTTTACTGGAAGAAATGGAAACGTTACGATCGAACATTCAGCGAGATAAAGTCGGAAGAAAGGAAAGCAGTTCTCCCGCCAAAGAGGAGGGATGCAGTTTCACGATGCAGCGTGCACTGTTATCGTAACTTTCTCGCTGTCGAGATAGCCCTTTTTTTCTCCTCGACTAAACTCTCTCTGGCGTTTAATTCGTCCACGTAACAGAACTCTAGAGATGCATGCACGTAACGAGTTCGCGTGTAATCGGCGAAATAGGCACGCGTGCATCGCACTGCAGTGAAACTTTCTTCACACCCTTCACCGTTTCCTTCGATCAGGAAGGACATTTCCATCACGAACGAACGCACGCTGAAAGTACAGGAAGAAAGCAATTGAATTCAACTTCGTAACTTCGTTGGTATTACTCCGTTACGATAACATTTTTTTTCTTATAGACTCGTTAAGTTCATTACAGCAGCGTAAGGCTTTTAAACAAATACCGCAAGAATCCACGTAATATATAATTTTACAGCAATGCGGTTGACGTAAAATGCAGAGAGAACAGGAAAGAAACCTGTCAAGAGTGCTCTCTGCGTTTTACTCTTTCTCTCGTGCAAAAGAGCCTGTTACTTAACCAACGATCCTAACTCTTTGCTGTCTTCTGCTCACTTTTTCCTCGAACTGTTTGAAACGTGTTCTCTCGTTGTTCCGTTTTCCAAGACCTCTTCGAAGAATGTTTCCGAAACTTGTACCGTTTGAAATCTTTCCTCGTAACTTCTCGTTCAAACTGAAAAGCAATTTAATCGTATTACAGGTCAGAAATGGCGTAGTCATCGCAAACTGATCGCACCAACTTTCCACTTGAACGTGCTGAAGAGTTTCATCGATCTGTTCAACGCGAATTCACGCGCTGTGGTGGAGAGAATGCGCAAGGAAGGCAACAAAGAATTCGATTGTCATAATTACATGTCCGAGATGACCGTTGAAATTCTCCTGGAAACTGCCATGGGTGTGTCCAAGTCCACGCAAGATCGTAGTGGATTCGAGTACGCTATGGCTGTGATGAAGTACGTGACCATTTTTCCGTCCATCTTACGCAAACGTTTTCTTCCACCGGAGAAAGTTCGCTAATATTTCAATGTGCACGTGCTGTATGAGCTATAATCGGTGTTGCATAACCACTGGAATACAGTCATAAATATACGTTCTATCTTTTATTCTTCTTTTTAGAATAGTTAATAGTTACGATGGTTTTTTTTCTTCATAGGATGTGCGACATCTTACATCTTCGTCACACGAAAGTATGGCTTAGACCCGACTGGCTGTTCAACCTGACGAAATACGGTAAGAACCAGATCAAACTGCTCGAGATCATTCACGGATTGACGAAAAAAGTTATTCAACGCAAGAAGGAAGAGTACAAAAGTGGAAAGCGTAACATCATCGACACAGCTGCTCAGAAGACCGATCTTAAAGTAACAATCAAATCGATTTATTAATCGATTACTAATCGATTTTGTAGGTAAAACATAGGTTATCGTTAAACGTTATTTTACTCAATTTCAGTCTAATACTACTGTAGAGGGCGTTTCGTTTGGTCAGTCTGTCGGTCTTAAAGACGATCTCGACGTTGACGACGATGTTGGTGAGAAGAAGAGACAGGCCTTCCTTGATCTCTTGATCGAGGCTGGAGAAAATGGTGTTGTCGTTAACGATCAGGAAGTGAAGGAACAAGTAGACACGATTATGTTTGAGGTAAAATTTCCAATGAGTTTTTTTCATGTTACCGACTGTTGGAATTGTCGAGTAATAAAAATGAAATGGGTGTATTTAAATACAGGGTCACGATACGACTGCTTCCGGATCTAGTTTCTTCCTCGCTATGATGGGCTGCCACCCTGACATTCAGGAGAAAGTGATTCAAGAATTGGACGAGATCTTCGGTGACAGTGACAGGCCCGCCACCTTCCAAGATACATTGCAAATGAAATATCTCGAACGTTGCCTTTTGGAAACACTTCGAATGTACCCACCTGTGCCAATCATCGCTCGTGAAATCAAGACAGATTTGAAATTGGGTGAGTACTACCTCTTCGCCGTTTCTCTTCTGTCCAAAGATTTACTTAAAAAGAAAACTCTGAAAAATTGCAGCATCCGGAGACTACACCATTCCAGCCGGTTGCACAGTCGTCATTGGCACCTTCAAGCTACACAGACAGCCACACATTTATCCTGACCCAGACGTCTTCAACCCTGACAACTTCTTGCCAGAAAACACCGCGAATCGTCACTACTACGCGTACGTGCCATTCTCTGCTGGACCACGATCCTGCGTAGGCCGAAAATACGCTATGCTGAAACTGAAGATCGTCCTTTCGACGATTCTCAGAAATTTCCGCGTGAAGTCCGACGTCAAAGAATCAGACTTCAGGCTACAAGCTGATATTATTCTGAAGAGGGCCGATGGTTTCAAGATCAAGCTGGAACCAAGGAAACAGGTAGCCGCCACCGCATAAATGTACAAGGAAGATTTATATAAAAATTTTTATTAAATAAATGAACAAACACAATTGGCGGGCTTCCCGCGCACGCACGTAGAAGCCATACTGCACGCGCATGCGCAGAAAGCTCGCCTGTCAAATTTTTAGTGCGCATAAATGTATATTTTCATCGGCGTGTAACGCGTCTAGGTGTACACGTATTTACTACTTACCTTGATATTTATCTTATGCAATAAATTATGCAACCGTAACGTTGCGAAATCTGAAACTATTATTGAACTTTTAATACTACTGTTCCCAAACCCTTTTCACCTTCCGTTCTAATTACATTTCATTGTATTTACAATAGCAGGAAACTTTTTGGTCACTGTTAACGAGAGGTTACGAAGGAACATTTTTCATACAATGACAATGAATTATAGGCAAGAGAAAAAGTATAATGTAGTAGAATTTTTAAAGAAGGATTGTAAAGAATGGTTGAATAATTCAGATAGTAACAGCAGTGAATATATTGGGAATCGTCCGATACGATTGAAAACATTGCCTGAAGCTCATGGCAAAGAGATAAATAAAGTTATAGCAGATTTAAAAGCCGCGTTACCCGAGCTAAGCCCTATCGAAGTGAGAAGGTTATTATTGTTATATTTAACCTTCAGAAAAATTCACATCGAATATATTTCATTTTAATATCGTCATAATATAATGCACTTTTTTATCTATTGTAATTTTCCAAGTAGATTTCATATGCCCTATCACGAGGCGATTCTTCTCGAACTTGAAGAACAAGGTTATCAGGAAGCATTTTATTACATCAAAGAACTTCTAGAGATGGATGAAAAAATTGCAAATAAGACACCTGGAATGGTAATGTGGAAAAAAGCGTATTTGAAAAATCAAAATGATTTTATAAATTGTCTGAAAGATGGATTGGTCACGTCTGAAATGGGCAAGAGGAAGGGTATGAACGCCGATCTATTATATATGTAACTGAATCGATTAACCAAACAAATCATTTATACAGGTGACTATGTTACACAAGCTATATCACTACTAGACACTGCTCTACTCTTTCAATCGAAGACGTGGGAATGGTGGTGGGTAACCGAACGTCTCTATCAAACTGCACTTTCGGCTGCAGAATTGATTAAGCATGATAATGGTCAAACAATCACACTGATACGCTACTTGTACGGTCGATTTCTCTTTCACGAACGTTCGTAGTAATTCTCAGATTCTCTCGTTACCACTTTCTAACAATTATGCTCTTGATTGTACAAAAGAAAAATTTATATTAGTGCAGAATCCAAAGGAAGCTTTAGAGTATCTAAATAAGGCGCGAGAAGTTTCGGAAAATCAAATATGGAACGCGTCGAAAAAACTGGGAGTAAAGCAAAATTCCATTTTCAAAGAGACAAACGTTCTTCTCTATAAAGCTTTGTTAATTCTCGCCCGCAAGGAACGTACTGAGAAGCCTAATTTTGCTCTGAACGCCTGTATCGAAGCACTGGAAAGGGCTAACAATGGTAAACTCTATTTATGTTATACGTATACTGTGGATTCTACGTGAATGCAAAGATACGAAAAAACGTCGTTGAGTTTAATCTTAATGGGAATAAAAATAGCTGAGAACGCTGAGTATGTGAATGAAACCCTTTACGAGCTTGGAAAATCTTACGTCGCGGTGGGTGATATTAAAATGGCGCTACAAAGTTTTTCAAAGTTGTTAGCCATCGCGAAGAGGATTTCTGACATCGAGGGTATTTGCAACGCACACATGGAATTAGCTTTTGCATATAAAGTAATTAAATTACCATACTATAACCTATTGAAATATGAATGACACTTGCTTTTACGCGTGCAGCAATTGAACGAGAATGATCATACGGAAAAACATTTGCGAATGTGCAGAGAAAATGCTGAAGATTTCGGATTGATCCAGAAACTCGCTGACGCGCATTATTATACTGGCGAACATTATTTAAGTCAGGTATATATTAATAATTAAACAAAAGAAATTGCTGTTCTACATTGTTTACAAAAAAATGGACTGCACAATTACAATAAAAAACATTACAAAAATGTGTAATAATAACAGCTATTGTACTATACGAAAAACTTCGTTAAATAATAAAACTATGCGGTGCTTATGTATGAAACAAAATATTAAAGGTAATATAATGTTTTAGGGAAAATTGCATCTGTCTACCGTTCACTTGGAAACTGCTCTCAGTCTATACAATAGGCTTGACCTCTCTTGTGACGCTGACCGCGCAAGAAGTATTGCAGGAATTTCTAAAGGTTTCTTTTATATTTTCAAATATTATATCTACTATATAATCACTGTATGTTGACTTGTGCGTACAACTGTCATGCTTATCTGACCATTTTAATAAAAAAAAAAAAAAAAAAAGGATGTACAGTTTGCCTGCAAGTGTAAACTATTTTTACTATAAACAGAAGTATGTAGAAATACAGCTACTATTTATTCTATCTTACATATTTGAACAATTTATAAATGTTTATATAACACAAATCGTACTTTGCTTAATTGCTCTATAAATACAAACACTTATACAATTGTTTTCCTTTTGTTTTCGTTTTATTAGTGCAGGCCTTGGTCAAAATAAAACATCTCATAACTTTCTTTTTAAAGGGCAAGAGAGGATTGACAAGTATATTCATTTACTGTTGCGATGTGGCCAGTACGATAAAAACGCAACGTTGAAACTCTGTCGATGGAAAAGTCGCAGAGAGCCCTTTTGGACTGAGGAAACACATAGTAGTAAAGATCGAATTAAAATCTATTCTTTACTTCTCGCACATTACCATATTACACAACGCGATCGTGTTTTCTTGTGTCAATTATTTTTTTTTATATGTGCTTATCCTATATGCACACTACATATATTCTCTTCAAGTTTTTTATTACATGAAATGTATGTACACAAACATACTGACTCTTATGTTACGATGGCCACCATTGTTTTTATTTCTAAACATATAGAAGACATTTATTTAAGATATTAAACCTTTAAGAATGCATTCATGTAAATAGTAATCCTACAAATTGTCTTTTCTTTTTTGTTGTATTATATAGTAAACTAATATTTTATTATACGTTTACAACGAATGTTTCAGACGTCACATCCGACATGGAAATTCAATATGAAAATTCAGACACACTGTCATCATCGCTATCCTATGCAATGGATAATGATCGATCAATGTCACGACCTTAAAAATTCACATGCAGCAATTGCAGTCAATAAAATTTATTGTACAAGTATTCCTTCTGTTTCTTTATTTCAATTTATACTTGTGAAACTTTACATCTAAATATTAAAACGTTTGCATATCTCCTCGTTAAACCATGGTAAATCACGACTTGCGCAAAATTAGTCTCATATTTAAATTGTACCATCGGAGAGCTTATAAGTATGGTTGCGTAAAAACTATACATATAAATATAGGATACAAAAAGTAATATCTGACAGGTAAAACAAACAACGATAATATATATGAACTACATTGTTAATGCAGTCGATAGTGTTCTTTTCTACAATATAACTATTGTTTACTGAAAAGTTTGCCAAGGTTATGCAGGGTGCAGCAATAATTCTGCTCACCTTGAATATATCCGTTATTTTTAGAGATATCGAGAAACTTTGTTTACAAATGAATACGGTGCGAAGGGGGTCACCAACATTTTTTTAAATTGCTTGCCGTCTTTTCTTGTTCCTGGTAGTGCAAACGATTGTAACCAATTCTAAGAGTAAGCAACAAATCTTACTATATAATAGATGTTCGACGTGGTGCCTGTTTACAAATCGTCGAATTGTCGAAACCCGTGCACTTGTTATCACTTCCGACTTGACTGTGATACATACTACAATAAGTCTTTGTTTAATACCTTGTAATATTCTTCCTGTATTAGTCATCGAACAATGTTGAACATAGTTGAACATAGAAGTATATTATGCACGTACAGCAATGTTGAACACAGTTGAACATTGAAGTATATTATGCATGTACAGCAAGAGCTACATTCGATAGGAATTTTTCGAATCGATGGGTAGGACGTTTTGGGTCAACTCGTTCACGTGATGTAATACTACTTGATTTCTTTCTATGAGGAACATTAAAAAATATTACGTACCGTGAAAAGACGATAACGCCAGAAGAAAGGTACGTAAAATTATTGCAACATGTGCCACAATGAATCCAGAGGTAATAAGAAGTGTACGGGCTTCCAAACGGGCACCATTTCGAACATCTATTGTAACGTTAGATTTGTTGCACACTCTTTTGTTTATTATCGAATGACCTTGTATTAGGGGTCGTTGAAACCGTCTAAACATCCTTTGCACTACCCTCCAAGACCCTCCATTTATAAAAAGATTATTATTACCACATATTATGGCCTCCTTCAAGTTTTCCCATATATCTAAAAACAACAGAAATATTCAAAGGGATCAGAATTATTGCTGTACCCTGTATAGTAAAAAATTTATATAACTTTTCTATTACATACAAGGTAAAAACCATCATAATAAAATTACTTTAAATATGAAATAGATTACTTTGATTCTGTTTATTTATACACTTAATTTTTAGCCCTTAAGATCAGTTTATACAGTACTAAAATGTAATATCTGCTAAAAATTGAACAAATTCAAACAACTTGAAGCAAACTGAAAGAAGTAAATGAGGCTAAAAATTAATTGTACTAAAAAATATCCGTAATAAGTCTCTAGTAATAGTCTGAAATTACATTGCACACAAAAGATTAATCAATTCATGTTTCAGAATACATGAGAACACATAGTAAAGTCTCCTTTTGCTTAAAAATGTTTCATTTTAGTATGTTATGTGAATAATCACATGAATTGTATTTCACGTGGTATTTGTACCACTAAAAACAATTTTTCATATATTTTGTACAATATAAATTAATCTCCAATAATGGGTAAATTTTCAATATTTAATACTTTAAACGGATAATATTTATCGCTAAAACTTAATAATGAAAATTGTAAAAATAGATTACAGCAGAATTAAGTGATTACCGCCTAATACCTAAAAGTAAATTTGTTCAATACTTTCCATGGAGATAGTATTTCTGTTTATCTTAGTAAAAAAAAAAACAATTCACAAATAAAACTAACTGAATCCTTATTTCTCCAGTCTTTCATTTCAAAGAAGAAGTTTGAAAAAGTTTACAATTCTGTTGGGTTGTTAGACAGTATTCAATGAAATGATAAGGGTGCTAATACTCTGAGAAACAAACTACGATTGTGGATTTTATTGGAGTTTGAACCAACAATTAACCGTTTGCGTGCCACGGGTTACTACAGAAATCTTTCAGTTGATGTCGAAATATGCCAAAAATTTTATTTCGGACATTTTCATTGAATACAACTGTTTGGAAGTAACACGAAACAAAGGTAAAACTGATTATGTGCAGGGTTTTTGTTCAATTTTTTACAAAAAAAAGTTTCTGTAACACTTATGAAAATAGAAATTTCAATAAATCTGATGACACGCTACGGTAGAATGTGCACTTTGTGGCCCAATGCGGCAGTACTTTTCGACGTAGGATGCAAACAGCGCGATACTTTTGTTACGTTTCAGGTGTAAACGTGAATTAATCATGCGATAAACGTTGTAAATAATAAAAGCAAGTAAAACTTTACCTTTATATATACTAAAAATTATACTCAATGTTTGTAGAAAAACTTTCATAATATACAAGTTACTCCAAACAAACAACGTCCGTACTATCGTCATCGTTTATTTTCAGACATGGCATATCAATGGTGCTATTTATTTCACGTGATATGTTTTCCAAAGTCTCCAATTCGATGGTGTCATTTTCGGCATTTGTACCAATAACCTCTTGACGTTTTCGAACTTCTGCGTTTGCTAAATCAAGAACTTCTTGCAATACTTCCGCCACGGCATTAGCGGAATCACTTGTTGACTTTGCTCCTCTTGAATTATCCATTTCGTTTACTAACTCAATCTCTTCTAAAACTTTCGACTGTTTAGGCGAGCCATTTATTTTTGTTTGTATTATATTTTCACCCGGTGATTTTACTTTTTGCGTACTTCTAGGCGATTTTTGTTCACTAGTTTCTTTCGAATTACTAGCATCATCGATCGTTCTATCTACTTCTTTCATCTCAGTGTTTTCTTGTTCAACTTCTTTCACGGAATCTACCTCATCTACATTTACAGTACTATCAGCAGAATCTTTAATGGATTTATTTAAACTTTCACACACTGTATCTTCTTCTTCAGTGTCTTTATCAGTTGTCTTTACATGTTGTTCTTCTTCTTTTTCAATATCTTGCCCTTCCCCTTCTTTAATATCTTTACTATTATTTTTTTCTTCATCCTGTGTCTTATCATTTTCTTCATCCTGTGTCTTATCATTTTCTTCATCCTGTGTCTTATCATTTTCTTCTTCCTGTGTCCTATCATTTTCTTCTTCTTCTGTTCTATCATTATCTGCTTCCATTGTCTTACTTGTACTCTCCATTTCTTCCTTCTTTTCTATATCTTTTTCTCCGTGGTCTTCGTTGATATTGCCTAACGAAACAACTTGTTCTATTTCCTCTTCATCTAGCTTATCTTTATTACCGTCTTGCTCATTCTCTTCATCTTTCTCTTCTTTTTCTTTTTCTTCTTCTTCTTCTTCTTCTTTATGCTGTTTTTGTTTATGTTCAGTAAAACTTTGTGAAGTATCCAGATTTTCCTCTAAATTCACATTCTCGTCTTCTTTACTTTCTTTTTGTATATCCTCATCTTTCGTAACTTCATTTTCATTTTGCGTCGACGAGCTAGCAACATTCATTTCTACATCTTCATCTGCTTGCAATTCTTCTCCTTCTTTCTGAGTTTTATGAAGCTGATCATCATCAGATTCTTTCATGACAAGTTTCACGTCAACAGCATCTTCTACTGCTTCTTTTCTAGGAGAACATATTTTGCTTTCCTCATTACTACTAATGTCCGTAAAATTATTTTCATTCAAATTCTTTGCATGTTCCACTGATTCTTCCTCATCATCTTCAACCATAAGTGCTATACTCTCAGACGGATCTTCTGATAGATTATCTACTGGTTCACTTGGGCCTGATTCTTTTTCTATTACTGAACTTTCTTCACTTAATTTCTGTAGTTTTAGCGTTGGCTGCTTATAATGCGACAATTTGTGTGTTAAACCTAAAAGCTTATTTTCATAACTGGCTCCACATTCATCACAAACATATGTTTTAGTGTCAAATATAACTTCTTTATGATCAGATTCAGACTGTGATTCTTCTATTTTTTCCATTGACAGTTTTGGACTTTGTCCAGATAAGTTTTTTATTTTACGTGTCGATACCTTTCTTGCACTGCTTTCCAGTGCTTTATTATCCTGAATTTCGTCTATCATAGTAGGTGAAGCGCTTGTAAATCTCAGTCGCTTTTTTCGTGACATAACATCTTCGTTTGATGATGATACGTCGCTTACCTGTATACTTTTTGCTATAGGAATACCTTTTAAAATGGTTTTTAGTTTTTTACGATCCTGTCTATTGTCAACATCTGCATCAGACCAAGATGAGCCAGTTGCTAGTTTATGTTTGGTTAGAACTCTTCGACCTTTTCTTGTGACTCTTGATACAGAAGAATCTGAATCTGAACTTTGAGTAGCGCTATGAGTACTATTTTTCTGTTGAAGTTGCCTAACCCTTCGCGTTCGAGGTAGTGACTCTTCTTTTGAATCTGTGTTACTCGCTTCTTTTTCATCAGATTTATGTTTCTTATTTGGTCCTATGTCTTTGTCATTAATGTCTTCGTTTTCTAGTTTTACACTTCTGAGAGAACGTTTTTGACCCTGTCTTCGTGTATCCTTAACTACTTTATCAGGTTTATTTTCATTTGTCACATTTTGGCCTGTTACAACATATGTCTTATTACCTACATCATCCTCGTTAATTTTGTAGAGTTTTTGTTCCTTTATATCAGTGTCCTTCAAAACATCTTTTAAGAAAACTGTACAAAGTTTGGTTTCTGAAACATTTTGTTGCACTTGGATTTCAGCTTCACTTGTACAAATGTTCATATTTTTCCAACAACTTTTGCATACTGTATCTCCAGTTTTGTGAATCTTATACATGTCATCCTCATTTTTAATAGAGTTATGACACTTATTACAAACTCCCAATTTTGATGTTGTGTTTGAGTTGTTATTACGCAACTTATTATTTTGAGATCTTGTACGTATCATTTTGACCAAATTATTATGTGACTCTGATAATGTGTTTAAATTTGTTCTAGCAGATTCAGTGATGGTAGTTTTGCGATTTACAACAATAGTTTTTACCTAAAAAAACAAAATAATGCTATTACAAAACAAGAACAATACACATTTTATAGACATAATGTAATATGCTAGAAAACATTACCTTAGGAAAAGTTGCATAATCTATTTCTTCACAGTCACTGTCATTCAATATGATTGCAGTTTCTTTAGATACATTTTTTAAATCTAACAATACATCCAATATGTATCGGCAAGATAAGCATATAAATTTATAATCTTCATAAGTTTTTTCAGGCTGCAAATTATAATAAATGTAAGAAGTATTATAATTAGTAAATATAATTAAAGTTTACATCAGTGTCGGATAATTCTTACCTCATAATTAAAAAGCTGTTGTATTTTATCCAATGAATTGTATTGTAAAGCCTTATCTTTACTAAGATCAAAAATGAATTGGTTTTTTGCTGGTTCCAGACAGAAACTACAGAACTCTTTACATGCATATGCCTTTTTTTCTATAGCATGTTTATGCTTTTGTAAAAAAGAGCTACATTGACTTAATTCATATGCACATTTGTGACAAATTTTGGTTGGCAATTGCTCTATTGTAAATACCTATATGTATAATAACCAATGAATATGGCAGTAAAAATACAACAAATATATAATTAATGGAGTATGTTTAAATTCAACATTATATGTTTACATTTAATTGATAACAATTTATAATTCTCTATATTGGAAAAAGAAAATTATGTCACAGAACTAATGCCACTTCAAATTTAAACTACTTGATAAAAGAATACATTTGATTTCAATACATCCTCAAAACAACATCACACAGTAGCAACTTAAATATTACAACTTGAAACATAATTTAAAATATCGTTATATTGTTGAACATTACAATTAAATAGGATATTCTGAAGTCTACAAGTAAAAACAGTGTTGTTTTTATGCTATTAAAATTTCTTTCAATTGTAATAATCAAATATCGTTTTACATAACCTTTACTGCGTTGTTTGGACTGAATACATTTTGTATAAAAATTATCTACAGTAGGTGCCATGTTACTAAAACTAATAGCACCTTTTCTTTCTTTGGAACTAAATCCTAGAGAAGTACTGCAGATTCGAACTTAAACATACTCTTTTATTTGAATATTTACGTTATTCAATGTGCACAGATATCGACGCACGCTCAGACCTATTCTAGCAAATTTAACTCTTTAGAACTATAGAATTCGAACAAAACTTAATACCAGATATGCGATTCTGGGTACATATGTGTATCTGTACGATAAAACTACCTTAGCAAGTGAGCAGATCTGAAATTGTTCTTGAAATATTTGTTTGTTGTCCGCCGTAATGTCTAAGAAAACCCCTTCATCACTGGCACAGAGAAAACAGTATGATTCTGGCATAATGGAACACCAAAATTAACAAAAAGTCCGAATTATATATTAACTAAACCACACTCAGTATCAGTACAACTGATTTAACCTACACAATAACGTTCAATTTTTTGGCGGTTACGTATCCAGTAACAAACGTATTGCAACGCAATACATTGGCGGTAATACTACACAAAGCTAACATGGCGTATGCGTTCGACCCTTGAGTATCATCAAAGAAAAATGTCCTCCACCCATTCGTACGTTGAGATTTTGAATGTTACTTGTTTACCAACCAAAATATCGTGGATAATAGGAATCAATTGATTTGTAAGTCTTTCAATTTTTTTGAGTATTTTTTATTAAAGTAATTTTACGAGTTCAAAAACATACATAACACCTTTCTTTTATCATGTATATATACATGTATATATGTATATATATATACATATGTATACACATACATACACATAGTATATTAATAAAACAAGAATCTATCAAAAAACATCAATATTTCTATACTTCTAACTTATTGTTCACGTTGAATCCATTTTTGTAGATTTGACAGTGAAAATAAATCAAATATGGATTTGTTTTGTTCACGAAACTGTTCGAAGCGATCTTTTAAATCATCTAACATTGACCTGAGGAGTAGAGAAAGTATCATTTTAAAATAATTCTTATTAAATAACTAATTATAAATTTGTTATTTATAAAGAAAAAATTAGTAAATAAAGATATGCAACAAATAAAACACTTTCAATCTATAAACTGATTGTACAGTCGATCACCTGAAAGATTCCGTCATGCCTCTCGAGAACTCGAAAAAATCTTGCATGCAGACATTTGTTAAATCCGTGAAACCTTTTTTTACAATAGCACTCATCTCTTTATTTTCTTGTTTTATTTGTTCCACCTTCGGTTCTTCGGTTGGATCTTTAATCCCGGTCATTATACTCAATTGCTAAACAAGGAAAATTGAGTGAAAAATTTGATCAACTCTGTTTCTGTTCATTGGTATATGAAAAGAATTCGTAGTACAGATAATCGCATCGACAGAATATTTTTCTCGTATATTAGGCAATGATTTATAATATCGAATTATACTTTAACGAATTCAAACGTTACGCGCGAAATAATACACGTGAATACACGTGGGTGGCGTGATGTAAGAGCTAGAACACCTTTATAGTACTTTCAGTGAACGTAGGAACACATGTACAGACTGTATTTTAAGAAATATCTAAGATCAATTATGTTTATACACAAATTCAGTCGTTGCAGTGCATTATATGTATAACTTACGTAAGTGATAAATAGTTCTAAAAGACTCATTATAGACAGTTACATACATGTGATAAATCATTGTTTTAAAAATAACATTATTTCCGCTAAAAAATTCATCGAATATTTATTTCCCCTATTGTCAATTAACCTTTCGTATGGTACACGTTATTTCCATCCGATTGACTTCAAACAGTACACACGTACAATATATACGTGAATTTTTCCTAACATAAAACTGTCAAGTGCGATTGCATTGCACCACTGCAATTGCATCTTCTTATAGAGGTGATTTTATTTAAATACGCACACGATATGCGATGCACACAATAGCCGAGGGTTTCTCGGTTCTGTTTTGCATGATTAGGACCATTGGGCCCGAATTATCACTGATTTAAGAATCAAAGACGACACCGGAAAACCTGACAACGAACACAGAACAACGTCCTCTGTTCTGCTTCTTACGGTACCGCGACTTCTAAATATAGTAACTGCTTCTCTGCGAATTGTTTTCGTCGATCTGTTCAGTCCAACATTTGGAATACTGATCGAACTCACACGGGCTTGTCGGTTTCTGCGCATTCGCGGTTTTATGTATCGACGCGCGCAGTTTATACGCGGGCAAAATCAGATGTGTTTAAATTACACCGAATATCACAAAAATATATATGATTTTTTCTGATAAAACAAAACAAAAAAAAATAATACAGCTGTACGTTGAAAATTAGAAAGAATCATAAATCTTCGTTTCGGTCAAACACTCGATTCGTAAATGACAATTTGCACTATCGGTTTCTTCTTCGGTTGACTACTGTTATTTACGTTCGCAGCGATATCGCGAAGCACAGCCTCTACAGCTTCTTCCCATTCTTGATCCTTCGTGCCTTCTCGATTAAGAGAAGCTGACCATTTTAAACGTGGCATCGATATTACCGTTAAAACTTTCCTAAAATGTCACCATAGTTACTTAAAATATCTAACATAATTTATTGGATAACAATAATAATTACCTGAGATCTGAATGGAGTGCAGACATGTCACCACCAGCTTGTTCACCAAGTCTTCGAATAGTCTCCGCCAATGGTCCACTAAGCCTCTGCAGTCTTCTCCATGATTGAGCATACTGCCGCCTTACGAGCTCAATAATGGTACTCATCAGCGCCAAACCAACCAGAATATAAAGAGTACACAATAACATGTACTTGGGTTTTTTTGCAGCTATAAAATGTTACAACGGTATACAATAAGAACTACTACGTCGTAGAATTCACGTGATTTTTTTACTACTTACTCGGTACTAGATCACCGAAACCTATAGTGGTCATGGTCACAAAACAAAAATAAAATCCATCGAAAAAATCCCAGTCATCCTCCCATAACATGAACATACCTGCACCGCAGGCTAGATATAAAAAAAGTAAACCTATTGCTGCGAAGGCTCCTACAGGAAAATATACGTATGCATAAAATATAGAATAATGACCGACCGCAGATATATACCAGTTTCGCGCGTATAGAAATAATTTCAGTCACAGTTACCAAGCGATCGCCTTCCAGCTAAATTCGTCGGAATGCAGGAGAAGGAAAAGCGAAACGGAAGTTTCGTTTTCACTGCTAAAGCAATTTCAACTACGACGGTGGCAAATAGTTTTCCACAGTCGGCTATCACTGTTAACGTCAGAGGTATACCAACGAAAGCGTACAAGATACAGAACATCCTTCCCCCATTAGTTGATGGTACAACGTTACCATATCCTAAAACAACGAGAAAAGCTAAATATCACAATCACACGTGTATTTTGTGCATTGAAAATTGATTTAACTCGTACCCAATTCTATTAGAAACTGTAATAAGCACGACTTCTTGGTCGACATAGGCTTACGTTTAAATTAGACGTTTAATTTTGATTCATTACCGATCGTAGTAAGAACAGTGCTTGCAAAAAAGATGGCTTGAAGAACGCTCCATCTTTCAGTGACGATCGGCGGTAAATCCGCTGTACCACGATCTTCTTGATCGATCGTATCCGTCACGAAACTTATCAATAGACCACCCTGTGCTGCTTCCTGGACAGCTTCCTCGTAAGCGCGTAATTTCACGCTAACCTGCAAACATCCTTTGCCATCGTATTATTTGCAATCATTTCAAGAGTTTTAGCTTATTTTCAAAGTTGAATTTTAACGATATTTTCCAAATCATTTTTACTTCGAATGGAAGGTCGAAGCTGCATAATTAGTGTTCGAAATATTGACTCACCAATGTTCGCAAATTTGAGACATCGGTATTATTGGAGACAGAGTCAACGAATGAATATCGTTCTGCGCGTAAATTGGCGCGCAAAGTTTCCAAACGCGCCAATTCTACCGGAAGTTCGACATGTCGAAAAACCTGCCAATTAAAGTAAATTGTATCGATCATCGACGTGTTTTAATTCCTTTTGTTTCTTTATCTTTTTCTTTCTTTTTGCTGTTATATTGTTCTCAAGTATAAAAATATTCTTGTCTAATGCTAATGACATCTGATGCGCATATTTGTAAACCTCTTCACTCTCAAGTGGTTGACAGATTAATGTCGTTTTATTTACGCATTTGGTTTACATTTCGGTAATGTCGTTAATCATTTTTTTGTGAGAAAAAAGTTCTAGAATTATCAGTGACTGCAATTTTTTTCGACGATAACGATTTAATCGAATAAAAGAATTACAAACAAAAAATAACGCAGTTTGAAGTTGAACAAAGAAGGTTAGTTCCAATCACATCCAGCCGTACGATTGGTCCATTGCTAAAAATAAAGATACCAATTGGAAATCCAGACTCGCGTTGTTATTTCTATAAATATTGCATTCCATGTAAACTCGTGTAAATAAAGAGTATGAATTTGGAATATTCATTGACAAATTTGACATCAGTCAAACTACATTTGTCGTTAGTTTATCGATGTATTTTTTGATTATTCGTAAAATTTCTATAGCGGACAATACTACTATATAAAAGGCAATACTATTTGGAAAATCTCTTCTTTTTTTAAATAACAGCACAAAGATTTTTTCATAAAAAATAGGATATATTTTTTCTATAAAAAAAAAAAAAAAAAGTACATATTTATTTGACTTACCAAACCTCCTATTGCCGTATAAAGCATTAAAGTAATCAAAAGTCCAACATGACCAGCGATCGATTTGATTTTTTGCATATGTTCCTCGTTGAAAAATTTCTTGGTTTCTGTGATTTCCTCTATGCTGTTTGTTTGAGCGAATTCCACAGATAAATTTGACTTTTTGGTCGTCATTTTAAACACACACGTCTTGTGAAACACGTAACTGCCTCCGATACTCGAGGAGAACTGATTGAGTTTTGCTCGAATCTTCTACAATCGCTCCGGTTATTTCCGTATGGAAGAGTAAAGGAAGTGTGGTCTTAAAACATCAACCGGAATTCGATTCTGTCAGGTGCTCTTAGAAGATGATCGGTATAATGTTTTAAGTGGTGCTTGGCGCTTGTTCAGCACTGAATCTTCTCCTGTAATACTAGTATTTCTTCTTTGGTTCAATTTATCTCAATTTTATGGAAGTTTCTTCAATAATTATATTTTCAAAGACATTTTAAAGGAAAGAAAATTTGAACGAATTTAAATGCTTCGAAACTTAATATTTCTAGAACCCTTTTCATGGCCATTTCATTCTTATTCTTAAAAATGAAATTATTCCGAATACATATTGACATGGACGGTCAGATATTTTATAATTTAAATTGGTTTACTTTAAAAATGCTTCAAGTACAGCGTGCTATAGCGCCATTTTTTAAAAGTGAACAACTTGCTAAAGGTGCATGATTATACCGAGAAGGTACACAAGTACTTTCACATATGTTCTGTGCACGGTCGGTAACGAAGTACTGCGAATAAACCGCGATTGTTACTCTCGAGAGAAATTTGCAATAACCAAAAAGGGTAAAAATTGAAGCGAAAGTAGCAGTAGCCATTAGATATTTAGGATAAGGTCTACGATGTTAATTGGAAAGTAATTTAATAACTAAACTCAGCACACAGTTCTCGTAAGTATATCTTACACATACTATATGACAGGTTATAAAATGTTGTTAGGTAGTTAAATAAAATTGAAAATAAGTATGAATATCTATTACAAAAATATGTAAATTATAAATCATAGTATAATATAAATGATCATTGAAATGTATAATTTAGTCATAATGGAAAATTTTGGCATTTATTAAATTGCTTAATCTGTGCTAAAACTATGCACAGATATAATTCTATGTTATTTCTACTCATGTGTAGTAAAAATTGATTGATAAGTTTTTATAATAATATTTATTTTAGTACTAATATGCTCCATTATTGAATGTGATTTTAGGCCATGACAGCAGTGAAAATTCATGGTGGAATTGACATCTTGCGTCTTCCTGTTAATCAAGAAGAACATGTATTTCCACCGTGGCATATTAAATACACACAATCACACATACTTCATTCAAAATGTTCCAAAAGTGAAAACAGCTGTGGCAATAAGGATTCTAATCCCTGTCAATTTTGCATGTATGATAGATAAATATAACTTTATACAACTGTAAGAGATTTATATCATATAATTAATTTTATAGTTTCAGCCGTACATTAGAACTACCACATATGCCAGATATGGTATTTCCAAACAATATACTAACTTTAAAGCATCAGAATGGTGCAACATTACAATTTAATGCCTTAGATGCTTTGAAAACTGTTTCAAATGGAAAAATTAATATTCAGCTAGCATGTGCAGAAGCTTGGAAGGAATCCAGGTGTGTGTGGACTTGTTTGTTAGCTGTTTTATTATAGCACTCTTAAATATACATTACTTTATTAAATAGATCAGAGAGCAGTGAATATTTGGAGGAAAAACTAAAACCATTTGATTGGACATTTACCACCACTTATACTGGTACAATATCTAACTTTGAAGTACAGGAAACTAACGAGCGAATTGATGTGGATAAGTTAAGGAGAAGAGATAAGATCTTGTTTTATCATGACATAACAATGTTTGAAGATGAACTTCATGATAATGGTATTGCAGTGTGTTCTGTAAAAATTGTAAGTTAATAGAATCCTAATGCAAGTACTTGAAAAGAAACAATCTAAATGAAATTCATTCTAATTTTATTTATTGATTCTAATAGCGTGTTATGCCGACTAGTTTTTTCATTTTATTGAGATATTTTTTGAGAATTGACGGTGTAATGTTGAGGATAAACGACACACGAATTTATCATGAGTTTGGTCAAGATTATTTATTGAGAGAGTATACATCAAGGGAAGCCAAAGTTGAAGAAATACGCGTAAGTAACTCGTTTATAAAAAAAATATCATTAAAATTAAAATCAATATCACTTCTGTTAGCTTTTTATCATGCAATATATAAACTAATATAATAAATATATTTATCACAAATTATAAATTTATCCTTTTTTTTAGGCTCCTCCATCACTTTTTATTGAACCAAGTGAAATAGCTCCACATTTACCTTTAACTGGATGTCAGTATCATAAACTAATAATTACTTCAAATAAAACGGAATCTGTTTAAAATAATGAATGGGTTAAGGAAACAACAACTGGTGCTACATCGGTTAGAGCCAATACAAGTGAAGCAGACAGTTCTGTTACTTAAAATTTGCACTTCCATATGACTGTATCACAGTTTGAAATAGCTAATAATTGAGCAAAATTCTTACAATTTGACTGCAACACAATAATTGAAAAGATGTAAAATAATCATGAAGAACATCATGAAAGCTTTGATATTAGTATATGAATACTGTATTTAATGAAAAGTTGAAAATTTTAAAAATCTGCTATATGATATATAACACATGAATAAAACATTCACAAATTATTCTAAATAAATGCTTTTTCAATAACATATTTAACATTATATTAATCCTTTCTTGCTTTATTTCTTGAGAATTATATGATATTATTGCATTTCCTCCGTAAGTATGAAGTAGAGAAGTATTTCTATGATGATTCTACTTGCATTTGTAAATCTTCAGGTTTTGGAATAAATTCAGGTTCATTTGAATTTTCATCATATCTTCTTCGAACAACAGTGTTTAACCACGAATAAAGCTTTCTATTATATTCATGTTCACTTAAACAAGTAACTTTAGTTGCAAGGAAAGTATTCTTTACTGTAGACAAATTTGTAAATGTAATTTCTTCATGTGGCCTTTCCCCATACGAAAAATCAAGTGTACAATAACCTATTGCATGTATATAATCACAACGTTTTATTTCTCTACCTAGAGTCCCATTATTCGTTTCCATTGCCCAATTATGTTCAAAAATCTGTATACAATGATTAAATATATATTTTTTTTTTCCATAAGCTGTATTAGAAAACAAAGTTTTTTACTTACAGCAATATCTTGTAAACTTGTATCAGGAGGATAATTAAAGTTGGGACGTGGCTTGGGCAAATGTTTTGGACATGTTTGACTTTTTAATAGTTTAATATCTATGTTCTTAGCGTCTTTACTATACTTCTCATCAATTCTTTTTCTCTCCTGACGAGTTAATTCAAACTGCTTTTTATTGAAATAAACAGAAATGGCTCCTGTTCCATCATCAACTACAGAAATTTTTAATTAAAATGTTTGTTTAAGATGTAATCTCTTACTGAGAATTATAAAGCAAATTGTTTTGTTGTATATGTTCATATTACCATGATACTCATAAAATCTACTATCTTGAGAAGCATATATTACAAATCCCATTATTTCAATTTTTCCTATTTTAAGATAAGGCATATTAAGAGGATGAAATTTGACATGTTTACCCTCTAGATAAGGCACAAATCTGTTCAATTCCATTATTAAAAAAGGTTCACATATCTTTACTTTCCCTAAAATAATTTATGACAGTTGTAACAATGTATTTGTAAGATGTCCTACATGAAAGTAAACACTATTATAAATATTCCAATACCTTTAAGTTTCTTTAAACGTTTGCAATGAACCCACTCCTCTTTCTCAGACAAGTAGAAAGGATAATCATAATCTCCAACATGCGAAACAAAATCTTCTCCTATTTCTTTTGGTAAATCGGTCCAATGTACCGCATTTGACATTTTTACAATAATACACTTTTTTCATGCAAATATTTTTCTAGCATTAATTTGTTAATGCACCTTCTTTAAAAATTTATCAGCCGCGGCGTAAACTATTTATTTCATAGTAAACACTTCTCACATGAGCCAACTGTTTACAATCCTATATTCAATAAGCATCTAATCCGTAGATACCCTATTTTAAACGCTAAACCGTAGAATAATTGGCGGGAAAAGTTTTTCCATTACCAATAGAAAAGTATTGGAAAGATTCGAAACTACATTTTAACCGAGTCACGTTGGATTTTAACGTCTGTCACTAGGGTGCGTTGTAAGTTCAATTTTGACACTGACACTTTTAACCTTGACACTGGTTCATTTTTTCATTACAAGAAGCGCTACTTCAGTCATTGGTTTAAAAAAATATTACGGGCGATACGAGTTAAAGAATAGAATTATCGTAAAAAAATTATCTAAATTCTTTACTCAATTATATAAATATATTTACTTGGACGATATTATAATATGATTAGCGTGTTTATTATGACTTATTATATTTCTATTATAAAATAATAAACATTTATTCTCTAGAAAAAATTGCATTATATACAAAAGCACTATCTTATTGCTATTAAGATTCACTGGTTGCATTGATTGAGTTTTTTGAATGACAGTTCCAACCTACGTTAGCAGTGTTTGCATCTACGGATAGCTGAATAATCGAAGGAACAAACACGCAGCGTTTCTTTCTGTTGAAACCGTAATTGCTGTTACCAGATGTACTGTATCGCAGTAGACTAACACGAATCAAGTCCCGTGTGCATTGTTCCTTTACACACCGCCTGACCTTGGGAAGGTCACGCCTGTTACACGCACCTCGCATTCCTCGAATCCCCCGCGTTCCATTCTTCGCGAAGGCAAGCTTACTTCGATAAGCAATAACGTCTCATTCCCAGTAGTAATACATACGTACATGTACCTTTCATGAATTAAACACTAGGCGTCACCTTTATTCTTCTTTTACGAATAATCCAAATACAAACACAAAATTTAGCATCTTTATAGAGAGGAAACCGTTCGAGGATACTTTCTACGAAGCAAAGTAACCTTTCTTTATTTTTCGATCGAAACTATTTTGTATGCACTTCTCAATAAACATTTCGGTCACTGACACGAGTCGTATACGGTATACCGTGGAAAACCAAGCAATTAGAAGAAAGTTCGCAAGTCAATTTGTTATTTATTCATTCGGTATTAGCAAATAGTACGATAAG